TAATAACAGAATTAAATTTAATAACTTTTTTTTCTTACAAAACTATTGAAAAAATCGACAGAATTTGGACAGAAATTAAAAAAATCAATTTTATTTTATTTTAAATTTTAAAATACATCCCAATTAAAATATCCAACTATTATATAAGCCATAATAATAGGCGTATTAAACAATAAACATTATCAATATATAGTATTATAATATTAAGTGTCTAGTTGTTTATACCGAGTGATCCATTTTACATAAGACCATTGATTATTTATTCTAGTATTTATAATAAATAGTAAGACTCATTATTTAATATTTCAAAAACTAACCCAACCAGGAATTAGGATGAGAGACAGACTGCTTTCATACACATATTGTGGTATCTCACTCCAACAAGTGGTTCATCATTATTTTTTTTGTTATATAATTTATAAGAACCCCTGAAACCTCAAAATATCAAAATATTCATTCTCGCGTTTTAAAAGTAGCTAGTTGCCTATCCATTCTTATATTATATTTTAATTTATGAGTTATATCTTAAATGTATTTAAAGTATTGATCCGCAGAGTGGTACAGGGGTACTTACCCCACCAATGGCGAAACGGACGTGGTCTTTGAAAAGCGATTGGTTCTCGAAGTTTTAATATCTTTGGGTGGGTAGATGGGTGGGTCGGTGTCAATATGAAAGTGAAAATTACTAAATAATAATTAATAATATGAATAGTACTTGTGTTTATTATAAATTGACGATGGGTCAAGTTAAGTTGCTTATGGGTTATTATTTTAGATTAATTTCGTCACTGTACTCCGCAAAATATTAGTTCACTATAAGGTAGATACTCCGCTCTTTTAAACTCTAAATACTTAAAATAATTAATACACTACTTGACTGAAATTTGATTTTGATACATCGAAATGCTCCTAATGATATTTTGCTTCGGACTATAAAGTTAAAGATTTATTTTGTCATTCAATACAGTAAAAACTTGAAAAAATTGTCGGAAAATTTTTTTACCAAAATTGCTGCTTCGACGTAAAATTGAGTGCTGGAAATATTTTCAAAAATGTCAGAATTTTCTGAAATAATAAGCGTATTACGTTAAATGAATCACTCCGTATATTATAAAACGTAATAGTTATTAGATAGAGGTAGGTATACTAAATTATTTAATTAATTAATTAAAATTAATAATTGAAATTATAAATAAACAATGTGATTTGTATATGATAATGATATAAAAATATAACTTTGATAAATGCGTCTACATTGATTTTAGTTAGGTATATAAATTAGTAAAATACATGTATATAATACTAAAATTATATATTATATACGTATACGCGAGTTTGATTGAATAATTAATTAATACATAAATATATACATAGTAGTTACTATAGTTGGTATTATGCCAAAGCAAGTATCTACTAGTATTTCTATATATTATCTCGTGTAGGAACCTTTGTTAGTTATTATTACTTGTTATATAATTGTATTTCTTAACTGATCAATAAGCTTTGATATACTTACCACCTTCTACACATATCTACTTAGTTGTGACCCACTTACATTTTATTTACAAGATACGTGTATTCTTATAAATTGGAGATATCTATAGCCAGGAATAACAGTTATTATTTCGGAAGGAGAAATAAGAGATGATAACTTAAATTTTAACACTCATCTTAAGTACCCATACTTACTAATATTATAAAAATATAAGTTATTTATTTTACACGTCATAATATTATACATTACAAATTCCAAATATTATTTGATAATTTTAATAATAAACACATTATTTATAGGACATAGGTTTCTAAATAATAATTTACCCATTCATATATCCATTTATTTATTTGTATAAATCAGTAATATATATTAAGGTATTGTGTAGGTTCCTATGTATACCCGGAAAAATATGAGATTTCTAGTGAAAAAAGGTGGGATATAAAATATTATATAATTTGTATCATAAGGTAGCCCGAGTTAACAAGTCTACACTCTGCAAGTACAATTAAAAATTATTAAAATTTAAGGTAAATAAATAAATTATTACAACATGAAAAAAAGACAGTAGGTTGGTATAATTTTTTTTAATTACAGTAAGAACGCTTCAACAATTCTGAATTGTATTGTGTATGAATTTGCGTATAAATAATACCATTTTTATGTGGCTAAAATGTTTAGAAACAAAAGAAATAAAATAAAAACATGAAATTATTGTAAATTGTAACCATAGATAGGTAACAAAATTGTATTAAACATGTTTCTTTTTATACAGATGGCCACACTGACTCGTGATTTTGTAATACTTTTACATGCCATTTCATTTATTGTTTTATACTGCATGTCTGCATACCATACAACTTTGTTGCCGCTTACCATTGGCCTTGTTAAATACCTTTTTTTTAATTGTGTTCATATTAAAATTATTTTTTTATTATATAATATCTAAAATTATCGTACCGAATTGAAGAGTTTTGAGGTAATTTATTATTTTCACATATTATACATAATTTATTTTAATTAAACAAAATTAAAAAATAATTTTAAGTACGAAATTAATTTTGAAATGTTGTAGAATGACTAGGGCACTAATATACATCAATATATCATTATATACCTATATTATGAGTTATGACTATGAGTTATTAAACAGTTTGAAAAAATCACAGGTATAAACTAATATAAATGTGTTAGTATTTATCTGTGGAAAAAATAAAATATAAAAACTATCACGAGGAAGATAACGATATATTCCTCCATGGTTAATAGTCTTATTATAATTTAACATTTTACATAATATCTACTCAAATAAGTACGATTTTTCATTAAAAATATCTTAATTAAAAAATAAAATATTCGATAGATAATATATTTTTTAGCTTGAGATTCAAAAAATACGTGACGTCACTATTCGTGGTATTTAACCATACTCCAAGTCAATGACTTAATGATTGATGCTTGTGAAGATAATGTTGAAAAATTACTAAAAATTATGCAAAAAATAAGTACGATTTAGTTATTAAGTAGGTACCTATTTTTATTGATAAAGTATCATTAAATATTATCAAATTATATTAGTTATTATAAGATATTCAATAATAATGATAACACTGTAAGAATATAATATTTTTTTACCCATAAACAATCTTAACAATATGTGCTCTTATATAAATTATTATAATGTATTTTAGTTATCGTACAAAAAATGCTTTTTAAAAAATACACAAACAACAATGTATCCATCTGACGTCTATACATTATACAATGTATAAATATGCACAATTTTGTATCATTATGCCTACCTATAGGTACATGTAATTATTACCTATATTAATTTATAGTAAACGAAAACATATTATATAGATACCCATAATTCTTGTATGTGTAGTGTGTACACAATTAACGATGGTGACCGGGGGAGAAGCAATGCCACCAGCAGTTCCTCCCTCGGTTCTCGATAACAAGGGAAAAAAGGTACCCATAATTTAAATTCGAGAAAAAGTAATAAAGATTATGAAAATACTTTATAGAGTTTTAAATTTGTAAATAATGTACTAAATTGCAGATACTTAAATAAAATACCTATATTGTTATAGTATTTGTATTATTAACTATTATTCAGCTATCATTTGTTAGGCACTATTACGACTCACCTAAATTTTACTATTTTATATCCAGTATTTTATTTAAACAAAAATTTAATTAATAAATAAGTAACAACTCAAATAGCGCTTGATACCTAAGTGGAATGTTAGTTAATTTAGCTTTTATCCATCTTTATTTATATTGAAAATACTAAAGAAAAATAAAATAAAAATAATAAATATAATATAGGTTAGGTTAGCACCTATCTACGTTTATACATGTAAAATCGTATTATACAGTTATATAAGTTATATAGTTTGAAGATACCTATACAAATATAACAATATTTTTTTTATTTTTCACATTACGTGCCAATATCATATGTTTGTTTTTAGGTCACGAAAAGGAATACTACCCATTTAATAATTAATATAATATAGCTTATATTATCTATGTAAATATTGAAGAACTCGTTATACCTACATAATTTAAGAATTTAATTTAATTTAAGACAATGAACTTGAATCCAAAATGACATAAATTTAGTATAGGTTATTAATCATGACTCGAATGGCTACCTACCTAAAATGCTTAAGGCTAATACAAAATTACTTAGGCGAACAACGATTCATGTATTTTATCATATTATATTATGATAAACTTCAAATAAAAAAATTATTAAAATAAAATCCAGTACATATTATTAATGGTTAGTTTATTCGACGAGCCTAATTATTTTCAAAATAATTGATTAATAAAAATGACACGAATAAAGGAAAAAAGAAATTATTGAAACAAAACAAACACGAACTCAATTTTTCTTATATAATTTGGATGATATGGTACCATGCTTTCAGTCGCCATTTATGGTTAAAACTAAGTACATTACATCTCGATTTTTGGGGCCAATCGTGAACAAAGACTATTTTGTTCTGATAATATTTTATGTACCTACGTTTATTATGTAGGTAACTACCTATTATTTTTTAAGCAAGATAATTATTCCACAGAAATGAATAATTTCCGAGTCATCTCTAAGAAATTTATTGAATCTTACAACGGTAACACTGCTTGCTACTGTTTTCAGGGGGTTGTATATTCGATTATCGATATTGTTACATTTTGTAAGATCGATTGTAATTTTTATTTTTTACAAATGTCAGTTTAGTACTTTCAGAATACAAATTTAACAAATAAATATCAATCATAACATTTATATTTTTTAATTTTATTTTTCGTATGAACGTTTACTAACTTAAATGTTTTATAGTTTCACTGAAGTCTGATGTAAATTAAAAGTAAAAAATAATTATCTAATTCAATGAATAATTTATCATAGTAATAATATGTACTTTATAGTATACAATTTAATGATTGTTCATTATCGATATTTTACGTAATTCGATTGTTTACTGTTTAGTGCTATAAAGTTGTACCAGTTGTAAACTGCAAGTGACTCTGAACACTAGAGCGACCGTTCGCCTCTGCCTTTTTCCCACTTTCATTTTTATTTTGGTTTTTGAATGTGTTTGCCAATTTTAATACATTGTTTTTTTTTTAAACAAAAAAAAAAAAATGCCATCTTAATTAACCAAAAATAGTTACCGAATATAATTTTAATTGAATGATCAATACACTGTGAGTAACATACTTATTACTAGTTTCATTGCAATTATTAATCTTATTATAACATACCAAAGTATCAAAAAAAATTTTTCCAATACAGTTAGAGAGTTTTTGCTAAATTATTTTATTTGTTAGTAATTTATAATCTATAATTTATAATTTAATTGTTTTGCTCCCAACTAATTGTATTTTATTTTATTGTAGCCAGATAAGTTTCAAATATTGTAACCAATGAGACAATAACCAATAACTAAATATTCATAGGCAATATAAATATTATTAATTACACCTACTCGATTAATTGATGAAAAATATTATTTTACTTTTAAAATAATACACTATAGTTTTTTACACATTTTGATTAAATAGGTATTTAAATTTGGTTTTAAATGATATAACTAGGTACAAAATTAAATCATTTGATTATAAAAAAAAAACCACAACATTTATTTGTGATCAACTTATAATTGGCAGTTGATTTATTTGCTTATAAGACTATTATTTTTAAGTGTCATCTTTAATCCCATGAGCTATTGTAATTAATTAAATATTTAATTTTGTTTTAGTTTTAAAATGACTGAAACAGATGTGAAAAAAATTCCATTTTTTAAACTATTAAATCTTGAGGCTGTTACTCCAGAGAATGATTCATCCACGGTAATTTTAATTTATTTATTTTATCTTTCTTTAATATAGATAATTCATAGTATTTTAAGTGTTATTATAATGTAGAATAAATTTCAAGTTAGTCACTAAAGATCAATGAATTATACTGAGTAAACTTATTGGTGGATCCACTTACTTTTATAATATTTATATAGGTACATCATAGTATTTTAATTAATGAAATTTCAGTAAATTGTGCATACCTAATTCATAAATATTTAATTATTCAGTGATAATTAAATAACCAAAATATATTATTTAATCTACATTCATATAATTTTAAAATATTGTTTATATAACCTTTTTTATTAAGAAAACCTATACTTAAGGGGATTCGATACCGCCATTTTCTGTTTTTGTCTAACACACGCCTGACATAGTAATTTAGACGTGTTTTTTGCCAAATATACCAATTGATCTAATGAAGCGATAAAAATTCTAAAAACAGATTTGAATTTGTCGTCAAGTCTACTTGAAATCGACTTTCCCACATTTATGATTTTTTGATTTTAACTTCTCCGAAAATTGAAATTCAAAAGTTTTTAAATGCTCTTTTTAAATATGACATTTTTAGGAATTTGGAGGATAATATCAAACATGTGGGAAAGTCGATTTTAAGTAGACTTAACGACAAATTCAAATCTGTTTTCAGATTTATTATCGCTTCATTAGATCAATTAGTATGTTTGACAAAAAACACGTCTAAATTACTATGTCACGCGTGTGTTAGACAAAAACAGAAAATGACGGTATCGAATCTTCTTAATTATAATATCAAATTATAACCTTCTATATTCTAGCTAATGGTCTGGCCATAGTTACCAGGCTTTAATTCAATAAAAAAAATCTTTTATCTTATAAAAGCTACAATTTATAATTTATAGTAATTATAATAATAATTTATAATTTTATTTTGGCCATTTTTACGACCAAGTTTAATCATTTAAAACAGTTCATTATTGTTCACTAGGAATTCAACTTTTATATAAATACATAATTTTATTGAATGCCGGTTAGATTTTACATTTATAACACCTTAAATTGGCTCACACACTGCAGCGTTAGCGGTAAAAGTGAGTCGAGACACTATTTACTGCCACTGCTGCAGTGCGTGGTGACCTTAAATAAAAAAATAAAATAAAACATATTCATTTTTATATATTTTTAAGTAAATACAATTTAAAAAAAAAAATGAGTACACATTTCTTATTTTTATAATTATCTATTTACAGGTATATTGTCAATAATCATTATTCTGGGGGAAATATTTTAATCTCTCATAAATTGTGATGGAGAATCTCATAAAAAATAATATAAACATTTGTTTAGTTGTTTATATCACCATAATTGTTATAAAATTTATTACTCTACTACTCGAGTGACTATAGATGTTCTTCGCAAGTTTTTTTACTTAGTACTTTTCATTTTTATAAGATTAACATTTTAAAAATGAATGTTGAATAAAAACATTTTGTAATACATTTCATGTTTTTAGAACATATTTATTTACATATTTTGACTTTCATTCCTTAAAGTCATGTCCTAGTAATAACCAATATAAATAAGTAAAAAAAAATAATATTAAAAAAATACAATGAATAAATACAATATATATAATATTATAACTATTATTTAATTATTATTTATTATATACATAATATATTATTATTAATAAAATCATAAAGTTATGTAAGCTTACACAATAGATAGGTATTAAGCATCATTTTTATTTCATTAATCTGTTTATATTCCTATAAATATTTTTTTTCAGATTTTCAAAAATCATTTATTAGTTTTACCACGCCATAATGCAGATCTCGTATACAAAAATAACAGTATAAAAACTGGATATGAAAATTTTTGTATAAAAAAAGGCACTTTAAAGTTGTATCCATTTAAAGACTTTGATTTTATTGGTAAACATGTTGTATGTCAAAAATGCTGTCAAAAGTTTGCTTCAAAATTGTCTTATAAAGCACATGTTGGTACTGGTATTTGTGTTAGAACTTATAATGGGCCAAATCTTATCTATCTTAAATACAAGAACAGAAATTATAGACAAGTTCGAAAAAAAAATAAAAAAAAGTCTGAAGAAGACTTTCACGGTCATGATATAAAAAAGAATTTGTTAAATCCTGAAATGTTGAACACTTTACAGACTCGTAATAAAGTCTATTCTGATAATATAATACACCAGCGAAATAAAGTTAAAGAAAAACCAATGAATAATTCAGATAAAAATAATGATGAGCCCTCTGTGAAAAAACCTAGAGGAAGACCTAAAAAGAACATTATTAGTAATAATGTTGAAGTTAATCTAAGAAAACGTGGCAGACCAAAGAAGTTAAATGCTGCGACAGTTGATAGCTCAAGTCAAAATGATAACAGCTCAAGTAGTAACCCGGAAATCGATGAGTCTGAAGAACCAAGAAAGATTAATAACTGTAGTCTTGATGATGCATTCAATAACAATTTAAATGAGGATGGCAAATTACAATCACTGTCTTCCAAAATGAAATTTTTATCAACTAAGTTTTGGAAACTTTTTAAAAAAGAGTTAAATCCGAATGGTGTAGATATTAATAATTATCAATATCAGACTGAAAACCAAACCCAGTATAATGAAGAAAACAAAGGTGATTTATCAGCTGAAGAAAAAGAAATTTTTCTTAAAATCGAAGAACTAGAATATGATATTAAGTTTCTTTCTAAACAGTTTCAGGGTAAGAAAGAATATCCATATGATGATGAATTAAAATTAATGCTGAAAAAAATTAATGAAAAGCGTGACGAAATTCAACAAAGTAAACTGAAGAAGACTGATATGAAGGGATCAATACCAGATGAAGGCAAAGAAAATATTCAAAGTACTCTCAAAATGAATGGAAATGAAACTGAGATTGAAATGAATAACACAGATTCTGATAAAATTGAAAAATGTTTAGGAATATGGATAAATAATAGTAATACGGTTTCCTCCGCTACAAATATAAAAATTAATGATGGTTGTAATACCATTAATCGTACAAATGTAAATCATTTTAATGAAGAATCCACAAGTCAGGATAGTTTTGAAGATAATTTAGGAACGTTAACTGTGGATGAAACTCCAAATATTACTAATTCAGTTAAAAATCATTTTAATGATCTTGGCTTAAATTATATCTATAACCCTATATTAAACTGTAGAAAATGCAGAAAAAAATTTACTTCTATTGCTGAATGGAAATTACATCGTTCTGAACATTTGTTTAAGTTAAATAAAAATTTTTTATGTAAGGTTTGTGGACTTAAATTCAAAATGTATAAAAATTTTACAAAACATATCAATATTCATAAAAGAATCGAACAAAAAAAATCATATGATAAAAAAAATTTAAAAAACTTAATATGTAAAATATGTAATAGACAGTATGATTACCTTAGATCATATTATGCACACATTAAAACCCATGTTGATGAATAACCTTATTTTATTTTTAATTTCCCGATATATACATTTTATAATGTACAGTACTTTGTCTAAAACCATCATAGATTGTTCACCATGTTTAAACTTTAAATTGATTTATTTTTGTATTTTATGGTTTAATTAAAACATTCTTATATTAAAATTGCTGAGTTATGAATTTTGGTATCTTTTTAAAGTAAAATATTTTTTATAATATTGAATTATATTATGTTTATTTTAATTATAATAAATTTAGTTTTAAAAATGAATAAAAGTCAAAACAATGATAAAATGTATAAATTGTTAGCAATATTTTACTTTTATACTATGAGGTATCAAAAGCATTACATTTATTTTGTATAATATTATGTAGGTATACTCAATTATATATTCTTAAATTGAAAACCAGTGTTGTATGTATAATTTACTGATCACAGAATGTCTCAATGAACAGTTCTCCTGCATTGTCTAGCTTCTACAACCAGCCTGTGAGAAGGACGAATAACTACAGCCAGTGCGTCCTATTATCCGCTGCATCTAGATGTTGCAGGGAAACCATACCTTTATATTCTAGATACTTAGTGTACCTTAAAATGCCTTGGTTTCATAGTGGCACTGTGACAGTAATGTATGTATATTTATTATTTTTAATTAACTATGGTAATCATTTTTTTGGTTAGAGAATGTGCACTTTGAAAGTGTCACTGCAACTTCAAAGATAGAAAATTTCATTATTTTGTAAATTATTATCTTAATGTAGTATTTTTGTTGTTGTTATTATTCAATAGTTAGAATTGTTATGAAAAATGTATTACTACAGACAATTTTCCAAACATTATGTCTATTTTAAAGATCACTCAAATAAATTAAGCTCTAATTAATTGATCTAGTCTGATATTTCATCAATTTTTTCAAATGTATAAATGTATTATAATATCAAGTACTGAAGTACCTATCCTTTGTGGCTGCTAGAGTACCAGAATTCATAATATCGGAATATCCTGTACACATATTTATCGAATGTAAATACCTTTTCTATGATTTGATATCCTATTACTCTATTCTGTCTGGAATTATCTACTTCTTTAATTTGTGAGATTGCAAAGCCCGCAAATAATCAAATACATTATATAATTTAAAATTACCGAATGAATGTGAATCATGCAAAATATATATCAAATATGTATTATAACACGAAAAATGTATTAATTTAATAATGCGGTTGAAAATTAGTCAAAATGGATCATGGGAGATGCTAAAATACATTTCATAATGTCATGATAAATTTTAAATTAGGTACCTATCTAATAATTTCTTATGAAATGTTAAAACATATTTATTTCCACAATTCTGTTATTTAAAATTTAAATAAGCACCAATATTCAACAATGTTGATAATATTTTTATTGAATTAAATGTATAATACTAAAATGTATTACAGGCTACAGCTTATTGATGTATAAATTGATATACAACATTATTACATAATGAGTGCACTATTGTCTAGTGTCTACATCAAAGGAATATTGTCTGAAGTACAAATTAATATTAACATTATACAGCCAATATACCTACTTAAGTAATTATACTATATTACTATACTATAAGTATATTATAATTATAAAGGTTAATGGCTATACAGTAAACAGTATGCTCAATAATATAGGTAATTCATGAGTTCCTATTATACAATGTTTTCTTAAATCATTTTACTCTCAATCTGAAAAAGAGTTTAAAAATATACTGTAGAAATTCGGGAATCGCCTTAAATTACTTTTTTAGTTAATTGTTTATAAATGTATAATAGTTAAATAAAACTGTGAAATATTGTTCAATTGTGTTGCATAGGTACGAAATTTTTCTGTTTCAATAAGAACAAAAATAGTCGTGACCTAGATCCAAATTGAAATGGTTTGAGCTAAATATTTAATAGAAAAAAAATAGTGGTCAAGGACATGAGAAAAAAGCGGCACTATTCGTATAAAAATTTTGTTAGACAGTGGAGGGGGTGGATGTTGTCTTTTTAAGAAATACTAATACATGTCTTAAGAAATAAAAATATATGTTGTGTGTGCTGTGTACCACAGTCTGTTATTCTGTGTGTACTATAAACAATGGGATAAGTGATAACAGATAACAACTGATTCTGTTTGTAATAATACAAAATTACAAAATAGTGATGAGTAGTGTAAATAATTGTAATGCTATAAGTTATTACTTATTATTATAGACACAAATGCACAATATTTAACAAAAACAATATTAGTTTATAGTTATGATATTTCGATCTACAATCGTCACTTCTCAGTTGACGCTGTAATAGTGTAATACTTCTGTAGTGCGTAGTAGTGACTCAGTAGTCGGTTGCAGTCAGCATTATTTTTTACCCCCGTTGATGTCTATTGTCCATTGTCTATTGTGTAGTAATATAATATAATATTATGTTTTTATCATGTCATAGGGATTTTTCGTGTTCAAAATATTATTACAATTAATGCAAACCAAAACTCGCATTGTTATTGACACGATTAAATTAATTTAATTGTAATAGTTACCTAGTGGCCACTGGCTTGTGTTAATTGATAATTGAGCCTCAGAACCATAAGACATTTTTAGGAAATCACAACTGAATAAACGATTCCTATACTTTTGCTCATCTGATCAATACATTTGGATTCCTTTGGCCATTTTGACAATGAATAAAACTCGAACGATATTCATTTTGGATGCTGGGGCGTTGTTTACCCTCCAGATATTGCAATTCTTCAGTCTGGACTATTATGTCATGGTTGTGTTCCAGGACACATGGTACTCCAGATATCCAAACACACTGTTCCTGGTGCTCAACATAGTGTTGACATTGCTGTTCTACCATACTTTCCTCAACTGTTACCGAGAATACAAATATGAACGTAGTAAGAAGACAGGAGATCTAGTTGAATGCAAAGCCAAGTATCCCGTGTACCTAAACTGCATCACCTGGGCAACATATGTGACCGTGTTGTTCAGCAAGATCATGATGATTTTCTCTAACAATGTTGTCTCGTTGGTTTCCAATGATGATTTCATGGGACCACAAATGCTCAAGGTACCTATTGACTATAGCCTATTACGTCATTATAATATATAATACATTGACATACCTTTACTTATAATAATTTTAAAAAAATTTACATTTGTTTTTTGTTTTTTTCAGTTACTCATTGGCGTTTCTGGCATTGTATTTTATCTGTTGATAAGTGCTGAATGTTTTGGACGGCAAGTAGATCGTGAAAAATGGCCAACAAATGCATGTATTATCGAGATTTTTGATTCTGTTGAAATATTATCTATAATCATAGCATCAGACGTTAAAATTGGGTACTTAGAGTATTTGATCTACATTACAGCCTTTTTAAACTTTATGTTACCATTATGGGTGCTGTATAATGTATCTCAACCTGACATTGATACCAAGCCAATGGGACTTCCGCAACCAGTATGTTATAATTTTATGCATTTAATGTTAGTTCAAATGCCTTTTTTGGGTATACGGATGTATATGTGGATTGTATTCAATCAAAATGCCTCAGTATTCATTATGAAAAATCTGTTACACTTATTATTCTTTTTGCATTCACTATACCCATACATTAAAGACATTTCTAAGAAAAACCAATACAGCCCAGAAACTCGTCATGATGATGTGCCTGAAATTCTTTTAACTAATCGTAAGGATGATGAACCTATTGAGTTGCTTTAAATGATTATTGCTTTTAACATGTTAATATAATAATATGGCCAACTATCCACACAAAGGGGATTTATTTTTAAGTTATAAATTATAATTTATAACTTATTATTAAAAAATGTGTTGTAATAATAAGTATATTGTATAGTTTATTTTATTTAAAATAATATACATATACTTGTCTAGCGGGTATAAAAATCAATTTATTATAAATGCATATTTTATCCAAATAAGTATAAATAGTTCAAAAATAAGTATTTTACCTTTTAAGTTACACAACTATTTTTGTTGTAATATAAATTTAACTTTTGGTCAATAGAAAATACATTTTTCTAGTCCACACTGTATCTCATTGGCTGAAGGTTATATTTTATAAATTTGAAAACTAAATTTCTTTAAATTTGTGTTTAATTTTATAATACTAATTATACTCTATATAGTATACTACACTAACTAATAAAATAATATAATATGACTCTAATTAAATTGTAAAATTTTTAATCTACACAGGTTATTTGTATTATCATAACTACAATTTGAACTGTGCTTTTATATTATTTACTATTTTGTGTATAAATTGAGTGTTCATAAAAGACTAAATCTGTAATTTAAGTTTATATATTTAAAAATTAAAACTGATTCTCAAACATTGTGACAAACATAATTAAGACTGATATAAATTTTGTATTTTTATATAGAACTTTCTAACATATTATTTAAATTCTATTTAAGATGAAATTTAGGTCAATTTTGTTTGAATAAATTATGTATTAATTAAGTTTTTAATGAAATTGTATGCGTATTTTTTTCTCTTGGTATAATAGACTTTTTTTATATAATACAATTAAGACTGTTTTTCATTAACTTAAACAGAATTTTGTAGTAAACAATATATTTTATTATGAAATAAAATGTAATTTAAATGTAAATAATTATGTATGTATTATTTATGAGATGAATTAAATGTATACATACTATTAACCTATGTATCATTTACTTTTATGAGTTAGGTTACATATTATAAATTACATTCAAATAAATTACAACCAACCAATTGTTTTTAAACTAATTTTAGAGTATTTCTTTAGATTATTGTCGTTGACTTTAAATAATGGAAAATTACTGTCATAATTTCAAGGCTTTGCACCCGTTTAGCCCATATAGCCAAAACCCTTAAAATAACGTATAACCCGAAACACCTAAATACAAAATTAAATTCGGGTTTTAACCTATAACCCATATAGAAAAATTATTACATTTTTCAAGTGACATATGAATTTGTATGTATATTTCATGGAGAATTCAGTTTTTAACTTAACCTAACCTACGTATGTCCCTAACTCCACACATTTTAGAAAATATACTAATTATAAGAAATAATAGTATTTGTTCTAAATAAATAAAGATGTCACTATCATAAGTTGTTGATTGTACTTGTTTTTAAGTTTTACAGTAAAATAAAAGTAATTAAAAGTATTTTAAAATTTTATAATTTATATTTTCTTCAAACTAAAAGTTTATTACAACCGATCTTCGTATATCCCTTATAACTTATTAGTAGTTATAACTAATTATATTTTGATTATATGGAATAATCAATAACTTATAAATGTATTTATAATTTATTCAAAATACAATTTTAATATTTGATTCAATAACTTATTTCATTTTATTTTATAACTATTTAATACTTTGCTGGTAAAACATTTAATATTTAATATTATAAAATATTAAATTATATTAAATTTAAATTTAAATTATAATATTTCGTGTGTCACTACTGTATTAGACATTAGTACTGAAAAATTGATTGTATAACTTTATACTTAGCTTAATAACACTTTACGCACAACAAAATTGATATATTACTCGATTTTAAATAACCCATAACCTGAATAAATAAACTGGCTAAACAAAACCCATATTCTTTAAAATTAAGATAACCTGAAACCACAACCTTTATTTTTATTTGAAGCACCCGAAACCATAACCCGAATAAATCATTTGGGTGCAAAGCCTAGCATAATTTACTTACAATATATTATTGTTATATTAAATAACTACTTTTATGTATCATATTTTAAATTTTTTCATTTAAGAAAGCAGAAATGAAAGTTTAGGTCAACCTGTGTCCTGTTAAATGATTGGGTTAAATAAATTGGTATTTAGTGTTATCAATTATGTATAAATCTATAATCTTCATTGGTATATCACACTAACTAGTTATTTCGATTTTAGTAAGTGTATTTTCAGTAAGTAATTCCTTACTGAGAATTAGTGAGTTAATAACAAGATTGAATGTTTACATAAATAATTTACCTTTTAGATTCTGAGTAGAGCAATGAATGTATTTATTTTACAAAAATGTGTTTTTTTTTCATTTTCTACACTTTCTGAAAAATTCTTCTTTTCTTGCTTAATCCGCAAAATTGTGGACACGGTAACTAGTCAAAATAATGCATTGGTGTTTAACTTTAGCATTTTGTCTGGACTTCTGATGGGAAAATGAATCTATCTGGTGCATTAGTCTAGTGGTAAAAATTGAACATTTCTAGTAGTTTTCAAGTGTTGAGAAAAACCGGGAGGATTTTTAAGCAAAAACTATTTAGTTTTTTTGGTGTAAAAGCTTACTTTGAATTGTCCGTACACGATGAAATATTTTGACACTTTTTGTGCTTATAAACATTAGACATTTTCAATTTTGCAATATATTGTTCACAAATAATATTTTGTTCTGCCAATAAACTTGAAATGTGAATACAAGATTCCTCTTAAGTTTTTTCAAGAATTAGTAAATTATTTTGAGTAAGAAAATCATAAAAAAATTTTTTTTATCTAAGAGTTGAAAACTTAATACTAAATTAATCTTAAGTCAATCTACTTTTCATAAAATTCATCAAAATCTCAAAAAATCACAAATTAATTTGTGGTTGAATATTTAAATTGTATACCTAAAGATTGTGAATAATTTAAATCAATGCTTCTCATGAGTAGTTAATACTGTACCTGTCACCTGATCTAAACAATTTTAACATATAAACAAACAGTTTTTTTATTTTTATGGATATTCATAGTTCAAATTTGAACTATATTAGATATTCAAACAAAGAATAAAAATGATAATTATTTTGCTGTAATGTAAAAATATATGTGGGTACATGAGTGTTGACATTTTTAAAAATATACTATTTTAGTTTTATACAAACAATGACGTTTTAAAATTAAATTTTCTCGGAAAAAAATTATTCAACCTACTTAAGTCTAATAGTAAAATAAATTACTTTAATACTATTAATATTTTAAAATATACTTAGTAATATAGACTGAGAATTTTTGCTCAAAATCATTTTTCATGTACAATGATTTATACCGTTTAATTCAAATTTAACACATTTATTACTGTGAAAATGTACTACTACATTTACTACTTCTAGGCAACTACTATACAGGAGAGCAGTACCATTGATAATAAATACCTACTAATAATTATAATCAATAGCAGTACCCATTTGCCACCTTATTTTTGTTTTTAAACATGTTGATATATGTTTGATTGGAAGTCTGATCCTAATGGCTGTTAGATACTCAGATTTGTTGTGGAATATGGTATTTTTTCTTGTCTTATCAGGGGAAGCTTCAGGGGGGTCGTAGTACTCTCCCAAGCTCGAATTTCTTAAAAATTGTATATTGTTAAAAACAAAATTACAAAAAACATATCATACTGACAAAAGTTTTCTGAAAATTATGACGCCTCCCCCTAACCATGTCTCTGAAGCTGCCCCTGTGTTTCATGAACTGTTGACTGTTGGTATAGTAACCATTATTGGGCAATTATTGGTATATACACTACATTGTGTGTTCAATAACATAAATTATACTTGAAAGTTTTAACTGATGATTAATTTTATTAACAATATAAATTATTGTCTATTAATTTGATTTCTAACAATAATTTACCTAAATTTGCAGTACCTATCAAGATAATTCTATTGAGTTTATATTACAATTAATGATATTTTCTCTTTCCTTCTGCCTACAGATATTTGGTTTTGTTTTATTATATTTCTGGGTAAATAAGTTTTCTGTTAGCAAATATTTAGACAAACTACAATGTCTATAGTTACATTTGAGAAACCTGTGCCCAAAGTAGCAGAGTCAGATTGGTATTACAAAATAACCGAATTAAAAGAATCTTGCGATGAACACAGGCGACATGCATTTGTACTGAAAAATGAATCTCAGAGGTTAAGGAATGATACAGATGTCACTACTTATTGGGCTACACATCGTACAAATTCTAAGATCTTTGACAGGTAGGTACCCTATGATATTTACTTTAATTTAAAATAGCGAAACAGAAGAATAACTTTTGTAATTTTAGACGCATTGAAATAATACGCTGGAAAAATCTAATTGAATTATGCTATAAAAATTTACAAAAAGAAATTAAAGACTTAAAAATTGAAAAGGAGAAAACTGAAAAATTCATAGAATTTCTGAATTTGAACTTTACTGTAACAAACCATTGCTTAAGTATAAGAGATGAAAGGGGTGATGCAGATTTGTGCCATGATATTGCATCTATTGAATTAAAAAAAGTATGCATTGTTAAGTTATATTGCCATTGGCATGCGCAACCTTCTGTTTTAAGTGTGGCTTTTATTTTTTTTGACCACCCACCCCCTTACAAAACCCCCTTAAAAAAAAATTAAAAAGACACACAAAACATAAGTATAGCACCAGTTAGGTTACTACAAATTTTAAGATCAAATTAATGTAAAATGTCTCAAAAAAGTGAGTTATCAACTCTCTTTACCTAAGTACCTGACCTAACCAAAAAAACACCCATCCTCAGGTAGGGCTATTGCCTTAAAAGCCACACTCGTGTGTACACCTATGTACATTGTTTAATTAAAATAAGTATTATGTGTTATGTATTATATCAAGGGTTTGTTTAGGAACAACGCACTTTAGAAAAACTAAAAAACTTGTTAGTCAAAGTATGCCAAAATGCATGGGAAAAGATTAATAAGTTGGAAGAGCTGGAAATTTATGTTGCCGAAGACTTGGATAAAAAGAATAATACAATAAACATAGATACTGAGTTGTTAAAAATGACAAAAGATTCAAACAATATCTCCCTCAAACCACATCCACTTAGAGTTCCAAAAGAGTAAGTTTCAAAACTATGTAATAATATTGTTGTTAAATACATGGGAATTTAGTTTGAATATTTCATTATATTGAAGTTTTGAAACTAAATATCTTTTTAGTTACCTACCTACTATTATTTATAAATGGGTTGTTTTAAAAGCAACAAATAGTTAATAATGAATCAGTAATAATTCTATAAGATTGGGTAGAGGCTAGTGAATACTTATCAACAAAAAAAGTCGTTTTTCTATACATTTTAACAAACTATAGCTAAAAGGTACACTTATTGTATGACAACTGCTAATCAAAATTTGTCATCTCATCATTTCATCTTTAAATTTTACAAGTTAACGAAAACAAATATAAAAATTTGCAAATGTTGTTCTTATCATTTGACTGTGATGAAAATTTTTTTTTTTATTATTGTTCAAATTATTTTTACTTTACAAAAAGTTTTTACACTGATTAAATTAAATATTTAATTATTTACTTAAGGTATTGGTTTTTGTATGAATATTTTAGTAATAAATAATTAACTAATTAATTTGTCATCCAGATACGTTAATGCCTAGGTATTAGGTATGTATAATAGCCAAAAGGTATTCATTTTTAACTGATAACATAGGACATAGGTAACTAACTCTTATCGAATTTTTTTTAAACGAAAACTAGTTGAAATAATTTGTGACTTCCTCAATTCCCAGTATTCATTACTCGTTGGCTATTACCATTTACCTCTAATATTTATCCTACGCGTACATAATATAACCCACCCAGGCGCGAACTGGCTGGGATGCTGGGATGCTACAGCATCCCTTGCCCTAAAATATATTTGCCCCTATCGGTATAAATGTGCCCACCTAAAATTAATCTGAATTTTGAAGGAGAAGGTTAAAATTCTCTGATAAAATCGTAGGTAGATGTAGATCTATTTCTTTATGTAATAACTAATAAGTAATAACTATAACAATCATAAAGAAAAAAGAATACATTTAAAGTAGGTAGCCAATAAGAAGATAGGTAAATTAGTGTGAGCAGCTTTTTAGCTTTAGTTGGGGGGGGGGGGAAATTAATCACAATTTACTGACCCTTAAGTTTGCCGTTGCTTAACCTTGCCTTGCTGTTGTAATTTGGCACCTATTTACATTTTTAACGTATTTACAATATTTTATTAAAACAAAAGAAAATGTTTAAATATTTTATAAATAACCTATTATTTAAAATTTGTTTTATTTGCCCTTTAAATTATGTAGCATCCCGCGCCCTTTTTTACCAGTCCACGCCTGAACCCACCTATCTAATTAATTTAATAAAATACTTATTATTTCTAATTATAAAACTGTAGTTTCAATACATATGAAAAATGGCTCCAACAGTGCAATAATATTAAACAAACAATTGAAAATGAATTGATTAGTTCAACAAAATTACGTGAAACTATGTTCGTGCCACAAAATAAAACTAAAAATGATCTGCTAACTCAAAATGACAAAGTAAATTATAGTCTCAGAAGGCGTATTTATGATACAGAAAGAATTAAGATCGAATTAGAATGGCAAAAATGGAACGTAAGACAATTAATACAAAATAATAAGTAGGGAACGGACTTTAATGCCATAAAATATAGTAAAAATGTTCTAAAAAATACGACTTAATACCTTAAAAAAATCTTTAATATCAAAAAATGCCCTAAGAAACTTTATAAAAATATAATTTTAAACATATTTCTGTATGTATAATATATTAATATTGTTATTACAACTAAAACTTATAAAAAAACACATCATTATAAGAAATTTATCTTATAAAAAAATAGGTATTTAAATACAAGAAAAAAACTTCTCTTGTGTTCTCACTCATCTTCTGTTTTAACCTAAAACATGTTTTGAGTTATTAATTAATAATTATATATAGTTGAAATTTATTTTAGTTTATTTTACCTGTTTATTATCTTTTTTACACTGAACAATAACATGATGCTTAATATTTTCGAACAAAAATCTTCTACGGTTATCCGCGAGTGTCGTTTTGTATACTGAAAAACTTCGTTCGATGTCACAAGAAGTCATTTGGGCAAACTTCAGATATGCCATATCATTGACAGTTATTCTTCAGATATATCGTCTCGAGTTGTTATATATCCCAGGGAAATTTTCCCTCCAAAATATTGGAAATATTTTTCATTGCTTTATATCCTCTATTTTCTTCAATTAAATTTTCAAATTGTTGATTTATGGCTTTCCCTATTTTATTTTAATCTATTCCGATTTCATTTCTTACTTTTTCAATAATACCGATTGCATCAGCCAACAATAATCCAGATGTTTCTAAAGTTGTTATGTATTTCGGTAAATTACAATAGTTTGCTTTTATAGACGCTAGATGTAATTTCAAACTATTATCGGCCAAGTACATTGTACATTTAATGTATATTTTGGAAACTTTTATAATTCCCATTAACAAATATGTATAAAAATTACTTAAAAACATAAAAATGCACTGTCAACAAATGCTCTAAAAAGCAAAAAGTATAAAAATTTAAATAAAAGTTACAGTTTTTAATTCCTTGGTGTATGAAATGAACTTTGTGCTTGGAAAGCAATATTTTTGGACATACAGAATAAAATGCAATTTGCATTCGAATCCGTTCCCTAATAATAAGATGATTATAGCGATATATGGGTAAACATTATTTGTAGATGTTAACAGACAAGGCTAAATTTTTGGAAGAAATTGAAAAATTAGAAAGCGCTTTGTATAGAAAGTTGAATCCTAAAATGTTAGTTGAGACACGGTGCGAAGAAAGATTGTATAGGGCTGGTGTTGAACTGTGCCTCGATAAATCTACTATTGGATTGCATAAAGAACATCTTGAACTTGATAATACCATCAACATGTTGAATGATAAGCTAAATCAAACAAAGTAAAACACATCTGTATAATGCTAAATTCTAATGCATATTCAATGTCACGTTTTGATTATTTATTTATTTTTACAGAACTTTGCATAATATTCTTATTGAACAAATCAATGTGCTGGACGAGCAACTAAAAAATAAGACTCATGCATTAGATGTTGACCAGAAATGTCTACAGTATAGAGTACAACTGGACGGCCGAAGTTATAACTGGTAATTTGTTGACTAACATGATGTAAAATTTCAAACATCTCAGATTTTGAAAAAAAGCCGACATTAACATATTTTTGGTCAAATCTTACAATTTTTGAGTAAGCCAAACTGAACTCACTACTGTTTTTATTTTTTAATAGCGCCTGCCTATTATTATTAATTATTATGTTCAAAATCAACATGTTTTAAGAATATTTTATAGTTGATGATTTTGCATTATCTTGAACCTATAATATTAGAAAATAGAAATTAAATATTGTAACTTGATTTATATATTTTATTAATTTAAATTGTTTGAATTTAATTTTCCATTTTAAAATCTATAGGGTACGTATACAGATATATTTCTAAAGAAATCGCAATCGTTATCATAGCCCTTTTAAATTATACGATATTATACAATTTTCAATACCTAACAACAATTTTTATGCATTATTATTCTTATAATCTTATGTCTGAATCACAGATAATACAATTATATATCTGTGGTCACTGGTCTGAATATAATACAATTAACAATATTGTAATGTTATCATTAAGTTTGATAGTATGATTTCACTCTTGTATCAAATGTATTTAAGCTAATAACCCAAAATTGTTCCTCCTGAACTCAAATTTGCTAAGGTATAGACTATTATAGTTGTTGTGACCTTATTACGCAACAAAGCGGGTGTGCCGTCATTTTGTCCTAATATCAGTCGTGAAAAATAATAATTGTACCTTATAGATAACAGATAATGATAATCAATACATCATCATTACATCATAATAATTTATAAAAATGATGCACTTACATTTTTAATTTATTAGTTATAAGTTTATAACACATTTACATTTGAGTCACACACTCAGAATTTATGTGCAGATGATATCTTTAATTTTCTTATAACATGTAGATGTAGGTAGGAACAGTATGAATATGTGTAATAATTGGAATTTTATAATTAATTTTGGGTAAACTCGAATTTATTTTCAAACTAATTCCTTCTAAAAATGCATTTAGATTGTGCCGAATGCCGATGGGGTTATAGGCCTCTGTTTCTGCTACTTTCTCTTAAATCACAAATCGCAATAGGAAGTACTGCAAATAACATCAATAGCCAATGCAATAAAATACCTACCATGTTATACTGAGTTCAATATGATAAACATTTTTATTTTTTGAAGTAGCAAACTTAAAAAAAGTTTGGAAACCCCTTGCGTTTACGTTTACGTAAAACTCTACTGCAAACGGTCTGGTCATTATATTTCTGTTCTATGCTACGGAACATATTAAGTACCTAATAAGTAGGCACTTAAAATAAACGATTAGTTAAGTGTTATAAAGTAATTTGTTGCACGGGCACGAGCACGAGCAACAGTCTTTTATAGAGTTTCCGCCTGCGAGACATTGGAAATACGATATTACATTATTATTGATTACAATTACATAATATAATATTATAATATATTGTATATTATATTTTATGCATTTACCAATGTATTACTATTTACTATAAATATCTACTAACTAGTAACTACTCATAAAATCGAAAATTGTGGCAGACATTCTAAACAGTAAACTCTTATAATCTTTTAACTTTTAAATATCAACTGCAGTCTACATACGATTTACAATACAACAGGGCTACATAATGATAATATATTCTGTATAAAACGTTTCAATTGGCTGAATAGTAATGAAAAAAAAACTAAGCTGGGGAGGATTTTCAGTTAGTTCTACTTCCCATAAATCGCTACTGAAAAACTGAATTTATAAATATTATTTTCCTTATAAATAACCACGGAAAAAATAACCCTATAATAAAAATGATCGTGTTCCTATTTAATTAGAAATGTGTAAATTTGTTTGAAATGTCCATAATATATCAATTAATAAAAATTCACATTAAATGTGTAATACTATTCCAATAATAAAATAATTTTAAACAAAAAGTCAATATTTTCAATTACGGTAAATTTGTATTGTAAACCTTCTATTTTCAAATCTTTTAGATTATCAGGTAGGTAAAGAACTAAATACATTTTGGTTTTTAGTGTAACTTTAAAAAAATGACCATATAGATACATGATATTTATTATTTTCACTGAATATTTGTGTATGTATTTTCTATAAAACATAAGATGTTCAAAGTATATTTTCACTCATGTTGAACTATTTATAGGCAATCAATTATTTTTAGTTTTTTATCGATAAATGTCTATAAAAAATGTTTACTCAGTCAAAAAACTTGAAAATATAATACGAGGTTTCAAATAAGTTGTTGTCCGTGTTAATTAAGTAAAATATGAGTTTAAATCCACAATTATTTTTTATGGGCGTCTGAATTTTAAATTTCGACAAAATACGTATAAATCACGAAAATTACGAAAATAAGAAATTCATAAAAAGTTTTCTTTTCATATTTAAGATTTGAACATTTAACACAAGATTCCTTTAAGTCTACCTTTATCAAAACAATTTAATTGGAAAGTCAAATTCATTTTTTATGAGTGTTTAAAGTTGAAATTTTTACAACATTGTATATTCACTAGATTTCTCATGTAGCGATTTTCTTATTTTGTTGTAATTCAAAAACGAATAAATTTAGATACTTGAAATTTACTCAATATATTTATTTTACTAGTTCATATACTTAAACAAATTTTCAAACTATTTTTTACATTTTCAATTTTCATATTTTTTTTTAGATTTTTTCTATAAATTTTCTTGGTTAGGTCAAAACTACAAGATATCTGCAAGACTCTTGATATATTGCTACAATAGCAGTTGAAAAATATTAAGTAATAAAATATAAAATATAAAAGTTATTGATGGTTGGTACCTTTCTTATCCATTAGAGACAGACCGTGGCACTGTGCTCTGGATTGTTTATTATTATCATAAGGGTACAATAATTTGTCATTGAATCCAAATTTTACATTATTTGAGGGGACCTAAAAATTGTACTTATGTGTGTTATAATTTTATAAATTGTATTATACGTAACAACATAATACTAATATTTAGATTAATTTGCAAAATCTTGAGAAATCTCTTATGGGGCTATTTTTTCCGTGGTTATTTTTTCGAGATATCTTTTTATATAGTTGAAAAATAATTTGGTCTGTCCCCAAACACTGGTGCTTACGTAATTACGGTGTAATTATTTTATGTCGTCAATTTACGTATCAAATAGATTAGAAAATAGACTGATGTTGTGCAGGTTTTGAAATCGAGCATAAAGGAAAAAACACTTCGGTTCAGGGTTATCTACAGAAATTTTTTAAGGTGGACGGAGGGGGGGGGGGCGATTAACAGTTTTTCATTTAAAATAATATTGTATTTATATATTTACTTAATTAGATAATATTATAGTATTATAAGTATATTTATTACATTTTTAAATATTATATGGTGTTTAGAATTAATTATGTATATTTAATCAAAGATATAAGAGTCTTTTAGACATATTAATAAACTAAAAGTAAACAATTAAAAAATTTGAAATTTATTTTGTTAACACGCTACGCAAAAAAAAAATAAAAACACTCAATGCTGTTAGTATATTATCACCGTTTTCAGGTAATCCTGTCAAATATTATTTCATAAAAATTTAAATGTAAAATGTAAATCATAATATTATAGATCATAATATTATTATGATTTATGATTTATCACATGAAGACATACATCTTAGACACCTAGGACAAATAAGGTAAGGATAAAAAATCGATGGGCAAAAAAAGATGTGAAACAAGTTATACAGATTCAGTCGCTTGAGTCTCACTTTCAACTTTTTATTATATAATATTTTTGTGTTAAAATTACGTGGAATGTCCATCAAATGGCAATGGACATACAATCAACAATCAAATAGAAGGGTAAGATCATCGATTTTCAAAATTAGTTATCCACAATCAACCTTTTGTAGTTTTATTATTTAAGCATTGATTTAAAAATGAGATAAGACTGTAAAGATGGGTTTTGTATGAAATAAAATTAGTTTAATTTACAGTAATCAATTTGAATCCCCCAAAAATATAATAACATGCAGGAAAAATTGATCAAAAGAGAAGTTTTTTAGATGTCAGCTAATATTTGTTTTGTCTTTCAGATCCACTATACCCACACGTGAAAACGCATTCACAAAAATTGGTTTTTACGATTTTTGAGTAGATACCTTATCTCAGAGTATTTCACCAATAAGTGTTAAATTTATGAAGAATAATATTTTTGTGGGTTTGACGTATAAGTTTTATATTTTATTATTATCTGACTTAACCATATTAGGTACCTATATACGTAAAAAATACAACATATTGTTTTGTGACAAAAATTAGACCAATGGTTCCTAACTCAGCATTAGACTTGGTCACATGGACTACTATTGTAAATTTTCCACCACCAAGGACTACTACTTAACTCCACGATATCCCTCTTCGGTTACTTATTTCTTTATAATTATTTATGGTTTCTACATTTAAAATAAAACCGTGAAAACAGTAAATGCTATGAAATAATATTTTTAAAAAATAATACAAGTTTAGGTTATCAATAGGCACTGAATTGATGTGACTTATTAGACTTATTGACCACTTGAGATCGTGGCATCCACTGAATTAGATAAAATATGTCAAACCTTCAATTTTTGTAAGATCGATTTTCCTCTAAACAACTTTTAGATATAAGAAAATACGAACATTTTGTTTTTGAGTGAATGCGTTTTGTCTATAGGTAGTGCGTTATCCAGTGAGAAAAAAACTAATAGTGAGCTGTTGAACAAACGCTTAGATCTATTTAAATGTTATAGATTAATTTTATATTTTTCCGGTTCAGATATCGGTATTGATTTTTTTCGTTTTCAGTTTCGGAATTAATTTCGGTTTTTTAAGGCACGGGTTTAACTGGTAATCGGTTTCAATAAGCCCTGGCACTGACATCCTCTTAAATTATAGTTTTCCTAATATAAAATATTGCTACTTAATACAACATTATATATTTTATAAGTTATAGCTATAATAAATTAATTTTATACAATATGAAATTGGTATCTAGCCATCTAGGTAGCTTTTAGGTTTCTAAACACAAGATTAGAAGTTTAGACCACCGTATGGAAGTAATGGAATTATATAGCTTTTTGCTGTGTTGTATATTATTATATATTAAAATATAGGAAATCGGGAAATTAGCACGCTCGCAGAGCCTGAGCTAACCTAACCTTTAACTTATTAAATAGTTGTATACAATTTTATCAAATTTTCTTCGTTTTTTTGAATTATCATCTATATTAAATCTTCAGGATTAACTTTGATGTCCATAATTTATGAACATCTAACATAGTTATTTACGGGCTCGCTATCGATTACAACCAGCATGCTTTTGCATAGACGTAGTGGAGGTAGTCCAACTAAAACCTCCCGAGACTCTCCTAAATATTTCCTAAATTCACCTCTTAAGTATAATAAATTGTGTTAATACGTGTTAATTTATATTTTTAGTCTTCTATAGCCTTCCCTTTTCAAATTTTAACCACATTTACAGCTATGCGTATTTGACCTAGTGGGAAATGCGACAATACGATCTGAGTTTTTGCTGACCGAGTCGACGCATCATAATAATTAAAAATACAATCAGATATAAATATATAATGCACCACATTTCACAAGAAAATGACATCTATCGACTATTCAACTTTATTACCTATATTAAAACAGTAACACAATCCTTTATTATTTTTATTAATAATATCTTTCATGATTCAAGATGTATGATTATTAATATTTGAAAAAAGGTGTAGCTTACGAGACGTGGAGCTGCCTATAGCGCCCACTTATTATTGGCACTTCTGTCTCAGTACGCATGTGATTACCATTTATTCCTTCTTCCTTTCAAGTTTTATGTGACAACATTTACCTGTAATTAGCTATGAGTAGTTTACAATAAAACGCGGCGCTATACCTACATATTACATTGCACTTTCGAACCTTTTTGTTTGAACAAGTCCACTGAAATAAAAAAAGAAGTTCATTATTTATTTCACAATATTATCGAACAAATCGATTTTTTTTAGATTATTTAAATTTTAATTACAACTGAACATTGACCGAAATAATATGTTTAGTTATGTGGTAGGTACTCATATAGGTTTACGAAAAAATGTGTGTGTTTGTGTGAGAGTGGGGGCCTCCCACGTGCCCACTGGTTAGCTCAACACACCCTCATATAAATACATCATTTATGAGAATCGTGGTCAATCAATAATTAGTATTTAATAATTATTTTTAGTATAATTAGTTAATAGTGTGATTTTAACTAGGGACAGTTGCTCATTGTGCACACGTACAATGATAAAATTCTAATCCTTCGGAGGGGCTTCAGAGTTCAGAACCTCCCCCCAATTTTTTTCAATTTTAATTGCACCACCTATAGTTACAAATTTGAGCTTTCGATCCACGCTGCAATAATAGGTACACCCGATGGGATAAAATATTGAATAATATTTTTATCAGACAACGACTGAACGACGTGTCACCAGTATGACCCGGGTGGCGTGAGACGCAACCGCATCAGGTCTCTAGAGCAAAATAGGAACTTGCTTCGGTAACGACGCGATGCTTGCAGGACGACACGGCCAATAGTATTATCTATTTTTTGCTTCAGGCATTGGTCAGAAAAAAAAATACGCAAATCGTGCATTTTAGATCTGTGTCGAAGTACACCACGGTTTCATCAATCGCCAACGCTGTTGCCAACACATATTCGTGTTGAGCGCGACGACGACGACGACGTGGACAGCATGGCCCAATCAAGAGATGGAGGCAAGTATTATTTGTGGACAAAAATCGCGGTTCATTGACCGCCGGGCCCGAAATAATAATATTATCATAAAATTAGAAAAATAGATATAACATTTTATCGTTCTTCGGAGCACCGCCTCGAACAATAACAATGAAAAAAAATATATATATATATATATAAACGATAAACAATACAATTCATTCGTGTAAACACCACAGGTATATTTATACCTCTTAATATTAAAACATAAACGCCGAACGCGCACTTCCCGATGGTTATCGTCGGACGGGCTCGTTCGTCACCCAACCACCCGCCCGGTCGGACCCATCCGCCCCGTCCGTCCGACCCATCCGCTCGCGCACCGGCCGCACACCGCACCGCGCGCCGACCGAGTCGTATCAATATATCCCCGTCGCCGGTAACACTGACGACTGCCGAGCACGAGCTCGCCAATGCCACTATCTCCTCGACGGCCTGCGAGTGTGCATGGGCACATTCCCGTTCCCGACGCTACCATCGTCCACCTGGATTCTTGGACGGGACGGAAGACGACGACGGTACACGCCACCATCGCCGGTCGACCGCGGCTGTACACGATAACCTCTGCGGTGCCGCCGCGAGGGCCTGCTCTGCACTCGTCCCGGTAACGACAGACAACGCACCGAGTAGGTTCGTAGATGGGTTTTGTATTTCGTTTTGTTATTAATCTCGAGCCACCGGACGCACGTGCAGCGCCAGATCGGCGATGTGTTGTCGCGGTGGACGGCGCCTGGCGCCACGGTAAGCCGCTCGGTCGCGCAGTTGCAGTCGGAGGTGTCTGGTGCGCGCGACTGCGCCATACCCAATTTTCCGCGACCTCGCAAGACCGAACCGTTTGTTCGAAACATCTTCGCGAGATATCTGTGCGTTTCACGTCTCCATTGGCCGTCGTTCGGTGGTCATCCTCCTGATGGTTTGGTCATGACGCCAGCCGCCGCACCACTACCACCGCGACCACAGTTCCAAGGTTTCTTCCGTGTTCTTTTGGCGTCGTCTCGCAGGTTTCTTGTCCTGCTTCTTCCGCCATCTGCGTACTTACATTTTATCGTTCGATTTGGTTACGATTTCTTTTGCCAGTTCGACAATAGCGCGTTCTCATTTCACTTGGAAAATTCGCTTGTTTTCGTTTAAGTTAACTTTTTTTTTTTTTACCCAATTTTCACAAAACATTTCTTCTTTCAATCCTATTTTCACTATTTAATGATTTCTCTCTTTTGGTTCTCGAGTGTTACGTTAATGATCAAGAATAATTGAAACCGTGTACCGATTGCTAGTTGAAAGTTTTTCCCATTAAGTGGTTGACAGAGTTTTTACCCTACAAAGTTTCTACAAGTGTGATTGATGATTGCATAAATACAAAAAAATTTGTTCGAGTTTTGTAATCACTGATATTGACTGGTAAAACAAAAAGTTGTTAATTTATAATAATTTTTTTCAAGTTTGAAATAGAGATATTTCCATTGAAATATCTACTGGACGACACATTAATGAAGTCTTTAATTGCGATTTTTTGTAAACTACATTTTTAGTAAATTAGTATAATATATTTTGCCTGCCTTTCAATTACTAGACATGGATAATACAAATATCCATTGATCTTTAAAAAAAATATCAAACAATATTCAGTGAATATTATTCAGCACATATCATGTAGATAAGGAAGATGAAGTTTTTCTAAAAAATATTTTTATTTTTTAATTTTCATCAATTCAATGTAAGTTTTAGTTTAAGCTCGGATCTTAGGTCAAAGAATAAAAATATTAAATCAAAAAAAAACTTAATGCCTAAGACATTATGATTTACCAAATAAAATTGTAGAATTGAATTCAAGTACACAGTACACATATAATCACTAGACTATAAAATGATGCATTTCTATTAGCACTTAGTATGTATTATATTTTGTATAATTTGTATTGTTGTCTGCTACTTACATCTAACTAAGCATTTATTTCTTCACAATGTAATTGGAAAATATGTAAAGGTAATGTTTCACCCAAAGCTATTAATTTAAAACAATAGAGGTATGAATTACAAAATTGGACAAGTCTGATAAATTAGAACAAAACAGTATTTATTTTCAAGAAAACAATAGGTTTTGCTAAAGATTTGTGTGAATAAATACATTTTAAAGATTGATGACATTAATTTATGTTTTTGAATTTAACTTTGCTAGATATTTTGTTTGGAGATAAAATAATGAGAGTATAATATTTTTTTTGCAACTTGTAATAATTTAAATATAAAAATCACATATGGATTATAAATTCAGGATAATTTGTTTTGTAATATAGCCATATGCTCATATTGGCCCTACTTTAGTATCCCGATATTGTTTGAAAAATACTAATATTATTTAGATGTTTTTTTCACAATTATGTTATGTCTATTACTTGAACCATAGTATTACGACTTAAGAGCATACAAAATTACCCTGCAATCCAATTGATTACAGTAAAAAATATTTATAAATTGGTTTGAAGTCATACCTATTTAATTTATTTTTAACAATGAATCAATGGAAATAATATGTTTTCCTTAAATTACCTTATAATTTTTTTTTTAGATCATTAAGCCTACAATGAAAGAACGCTATCGAAAACAAAAATTTTTGAAGAATGTCGGTCTACAACCAATTAAAACTCAAAGGTACATACATTTTTTTTTGTTCAAGCTCCATTTAGAAGTTCAAATTAATATGAAATAATATTTTTTTAGGCCTGTGGAGGAAGAAAATGATTTCAACGTGAGTATGCAAATTATTGTTAAATGTTAATGTTATATTGAGCCTTGTATGTTATGTGTCTAAGACTGGTTTCATGTTTTAGATATGTGAACGAGTATGTTTTTATTACTTTGATGATGATGCACAAGTGATATGTCGCGGTTGTTATAAAAGCTTTACAACATGGTTAAATTTCCGATTGCATTTTAATACATTATCATGCCATACAACTGAAACAAATTACAAACTAAATACTTATAATGATGTTTATAAAAAATACAAGTTAAAGAAAGCCAAGACTAAGAAAAAAATGAATGACCGTTTGAGTGCTGCACAACTTATGGATTTGGAAACTTTGAACACTCGCAAAACAAGAAAAAGGTACAATTTCTAATAGTTTTAACATGGTAAAGTATAAAATAATAATTGAAATATTATCATCATGATTTTCAGGTGTTACCAAAATACTAGGGTGGTTGTGACTGTTTCCAAATCTTCATCAGACTCGGGTTCAATAAATTCAGAAAAATCAACAGTAAAGACATTAAAGAAAGAAGCCACTGAAAACTATATTAGCAGTGATGAAAGTGTAGAGGAGTCAAAAGCAAAACCAAATGGTTGCAATACTGTTAAAGACATTCCAAGTAGTACAAAGACCATTATTCCAAAAACATCTCATGACAATCAGACGACGCTAACCATTAAAACAGAATGGAATGCCGATGACTTATCTCAGGCTTCTTCAGATGATCATTCATCAAGCTCTGCAAATTGTCCACCAAAATATAGCCCCAAAAAAGATAAGGCATTAAAATATCAGTATGTTTGTGTTATTTGTGATGCACAATTTATGAGTAAATGTTCACTTACTATGCACCAAGTGCAACATATCAAATCAGATCGCAGTAGTTACAGCGTTTTTATGGCTGCATTAACTCAATCTGCTAGGGTGTAACATGTCAATATATATTATTTGAGTTATGATACAAATGGTAACTCTAGTCCCTATAATGAAGTATCAAATCCTATTTATTTATTTATCTAATGAACATCATTTAACATAAACTGCTTGATTAATATTTGTGGTTGTACAATTTTAAATCAATTTTAAGAAAATAATAATTTTATGTTTGCGTCATTAAAATTTTTATCATTTGTACATTACCATTAAACATTGTGACCGTTAACGTCTTTCAAACAATGTATTATAATAGTTAGTTTTATTTGATTCCTATAATATTATTGTTTTTTTTTTTTTTAGACTAAAATAATTTTTACCTTATTCCCATACTTAAATTGAGTTTTAGAACTTGGGAAGATATTGTTTGGTTAAGCTAAAAGAAAAAGATAGAAACTAGCAACATTATTAAGAATGTTCATTAATCATATCAAATATTAAATGCATGTGTATTTTATTTTTAAAGAACAACTGCCTAACCTAACAATATCTTGAGCAGCTTTTTCTATGAGAGTCAAGTCAGTGATACTTTAATATAGGGCATTTTAAACTTTGAAAAGTTTGCTTTTGTAAAAAAAAATACTATTATTAATTTTTAAGACAAATGTTTTTTATTTTCAGTGTACCTCACATACAAATAAATGGAATTATTTTTTTTCTCAATATTAGTTTTTTTGCCGTACAAGTGTTATATGAGTATATTTATAATATTATGGTTTGGATTTGTATTTTAATTCTGAACTATATTTCAACCAAACCAATTAGAGACATGATTATTCATCATCTCTAAATGTAATGTGTATTGTTTAGCAAGATGTGAGCAGCGATTTACTATCTGTATCACACTTATGACTATAATTTGGTAGTATTAATAGCAGATTTAGTTTCATGTTTGTGGCTGTGCCTGGTGGTGTAATGAACTTGAAATTCTTTAAAAGCAAGTAATATTTCATCCACTCTAACTCTTATAAAGGCGTCATATTTTTATCAACATGTTGTAGTAAATACTAATAAACTAGTTAATGGGTATTAAATTATTTACCAGGTGGCAGCCTTTTGTTGGGTGTGCCCGTAAGATTATGTGTATTAATTAAAAATTATTAATCTTAATTAGACAAGGTATTTTTATTTTGAAATTTCACAAAATTAACATCTAGATATGACTAAAGTCAAAAGTTAAACGTAATATTAATTTTCCTTATGTTTAATTAAGATATCACAGTTGAGCGTTTAGCATTGTACAAGCGTGAACAATATTTCATTTGAATCGAAATAAATTTATTTGTTAAATAAAATTGAGATTTAAAGTAAGCTCAGAAATTATTCTTAATGAAATATACATTTTAACTATAAATATTTGATTAATTTTACCTTACTTAAAATATTTATAATTATCAACAATTTATTAATTCACACATAGATTGAACATACATGTGCATGTTTAATCTATGTTTCACATTAGGATGGCTCCATCGTCTATTAACAGCATACTCCTACACAAGTATTTTTTGATCAGGATTCTGATATCAAATAAGTTACAACATTTTCAAATATTTCCCTCGAATCATTCAAAAACGGTGGCCAACAACATTTATTAATTTGGTGGATAAAGTTCTGAATTAGGCTTGCAATGGATTAAAATCTGTTTTCAGAATCCTTATCGTATCACTAGATGAGATAACACCATAATAATATAGGCTCAATTTGTACAGTTACATGAAATATAAAGTAACATATATTGAATAATATACATCATTAAGAAATAACATAGTTTAATTTAATCATCCAAAGTCCATAAGTCGTCTATATGATTGGATAATGGTACAGAAAATGAAACTGGTTTTTCATATGTTAAGCTCACTTTTTGAAAATCTGTCTTGTATTCTTCATCGATCATCTATTAAAAAACCAAATAACCAGTTAATAATAAACCAGTTAATAAATTTAAGTTTACTAAAATACATTACATAAATATTACTATATTAGACTGATGAATGTATAAGTTAATAATAAAAAATAAATTGCAGTGATGAAGTCATGAGAACATAAATGTAGTTGCTAAATTTGAATACTAAACTGAATACATATTAAAAATTAATAATTCTTCCAACGATAAAAAAGTACACACCGAGTGTATTTTTTGTTTTGTATTAGCTTTTAGTCAGGGACTACATAATAATATTAAACGTATAATTTATAATGTATCAATACTTTTTCATGTCATAAAATTGATTTTTACTTACACTTTCATAAGAGTCATCTAATAATTCACTCATGTCCCATTCGACTTGTGGCAATTTTTTAAATAAAAAGTTTACTGATTTTCCCACTTTTGGTAGAATGTGTTGTTTTAAAGAGACAAGTTCCCATAGTGAGCTGTTTAATGCATTTGATTTTAATGGATCTTTTTCTTCAAAAATATAAGGATCCGAACCAACTTAAAGTCAAACATGCAATTTTAATAATATTATTAAATTTAAAAATAAAATCGATTATATTTTTAAATGTGCAAAATTACCAACGGAATCACTTTGAATCAATACTTTTAACGGCGGATGTCTAATTAATAAATTTCCAATAAATGCTGCCATAATTTGTATATCAGTGGGTGGTGCAATCAACGAAAGTCTAGCCATCCGTTTAACAAATGCAGCAACAAGCAGCTCGGGTAAATGACTATAACAAATACATAAAAATAAGACTGATGTAGAAAAAATTGATAAACATACAAATATTTTTAATAAAAACAAGTTATTAAGATGTGAAGTAGTAAGGATCACTGTAATTGATGTGTTAAATTTGAATTCAATAATATATCACTGTGTACGAAAAAGATTCTGAGCGGGTATGGTCTGTCAGCCTATATTTAAAAGCTGATTGATTAATGATTAGGAATCTTGTATTAAATTTTTAAGCTTTTGACCCAGTAAAATTTTTTTAATCAATATTTATGCAGACTAAAAAAAAATTGAATGTGTCTATAAATAGCTCAAAAAGAGTCAAGATATTTTTAAAACGGTATCATGTATAGAAAATGATAAAATAAACATTTGGTCATAATTTCAAGTATCTATGGTTTATATTTGTTTTGAATGACAACTAAATAAGAACATCGTTAATTTACAAGTGCATCCAACCTATTCAATGTTGTAAAAATTGGAACTTCAAAAGCTCTTAAAAATTAATGTAACTTTCAGGAAAATTTTTTTTTTTTGATAAAAGTAGAAAAACTTATGAGGAATTTTGTATTAAATTATCAAATCTTAAGCTATAAAAACAAAATATTTTTTGAATATCATCAAAAGAATTTTAAAGAATTTCACCAAAGTGCTACCTTACGTCACATTATTTGTCTTCAACTAACAAACATACCAAATTTGAGTTGAGGTTTGTGTTGTTAAACTTGCCACACCCGCAAGTGTTATGAATGTTATGATACTATTCAACATTGTATTTTTACTTGGACACTTAGTATGATCAAAATGTTTAAAATTACTTACGTTGAACGAAGAAAAATATCAGCCAAATAAAACAATCTGGTTTTATACCGATAATTAAACATATCCGTGGTAAAAAAGTTGTAAAGTTTCCCGTAAATATTTGGACATTCTCTAATTAAAAACAATAATAACAAAACATTAGATTCAAATAAGTAGAATTACCTATCGTGTAATTTCTTAGTACATTATTTTTATTTTAGCATTGTTTCATTATAAAGAAGTTGTAAAACTCAATTATTAGTATTAGGCAGTAGTAAATAAGTTACTTGGACACATTCCATTTAAAAAAAAAATAGTTCATACATCTATTACATTTTAGACTGTAAATGTTATATAATAAATACATTAAAAAATTATAGTTTGTAAAAAGCATTTTAAATAGCTTGTTAACAATTATTAAATCAAACAATAACTAGGTAACTTCAGTATAATTAAATATTTACTTACAAATTATAATCCTTGACCAAAATAAAAATTCCTTGAAGTCCTAATATTGCAATTGGACCAGCTATAAATTTAACAAGCAAGTACCAACAAGTTAATGACTACTCTATAACAGCGGTTCTCAACCCCCAAAGGGGTCGCGACCCCCCCGGTTGAGAATTGCTGCTCTATAACAATGTATTATTAATGAAGTATAAATAGTATATAAATGAAAACATACGAGTATCCAATGAATCCATTAGGAAATCTGCAGTTACAAGAGGATTATTTAAGTTCATTTGCATTTTTTCAATCAACAGTGTTAGCATCTCTCGTCTAATTTTAATATTTGATAACATAAAAGGTTTCATTTCATCCCAAACTATCGTGACCCATGATTTTAATTGTTCTGAATTATATTTAAATTGGGGCCGTTCTAACAAACAAATTCACAAATTATTAGTTTTTTTGTCGATTATAAATATTATTATGTATACTTACTGTTATTTTTAAATAGTAATTTGTCATCTTTATTTTTTTCAGTAGGAATTTTTACTAATCCTAAAAGATTTGTAAACATGTATACATTTGTTTTGTCTGTATTCAAATGTTGTACAATTAATGAAAAACATTCCCATGAGTAATAACAAAAATCCAAATTTTCAACATATTTTGTTAACATCTGTTGAAATTGTGACCATTGTATATTGGTAGTTGTAAGCATAGATGTGTAAATCGCCTACAAAAAATATTTATAAATAGTATAATTACTTGTTAGTTAGTAGATTATACTGAATATGCTCACCTTTAACTGATCAACAGGAAAATAATATACTTTTTTCACAATTTCTCCAGTTGGACATTTATTTTCCCGTAAAAATTTGTCGAATAATTGTTTGAATTCTGAAATCGTCGACATGATTTTAGATCTCTTGCTTGAATGTTTATTACCTAGTTTATTACTCTGCAACGCGAATTAAAAATTTTTTCTTAATTAAAAATATATGATATAAAATTATTTATGCAATAATAATATGCATAATATTAGTTATTAATAGTTAATACTTACGTTTTAGTCATTAGCTTACGGTTGTTACTCTAAATTTTTTAAATGTTCATGTTATTTATTATTTTGAATATTTTGTTATCAATATACATTTATACAAAATTCTATAACCAATAAAATTTTTAAATCTCACGTGTCTTGCAAGACAGAGCTACCAGTTCATCAATAAATTAAAATTATTGTATGTAACATAAAAGTTTAGATTAGTCTATGATAAAGGTTGCGATTTTAATTTTTAATTAAAAAAATAGTCAATTTACATATTTTGTTTAATGATTAATCAGAATTTGATGTGTTCGAACAACAATAATTTAACGGTTCAGTTTGTAAGAAGCGTTTTTTTGTTGTTATAAAATCTCGAGGTGATCAAAACGATAACTGGTGATACAAAATACCAAGTTTTTTACGATAATATTTTCGCTGGTTTGGATACACTACATCTGCCAATATGATTTTTCAAAAGAATCACTTTCAAAATTTTTACTAAATGTTTGAATTTGCCAATTTTAAGACGTTTCAAGTATTGTACCATACATTTAATTAAATTTAACAAAAATGTATCCTCGTGCCCGGTTATTGTGCTTGAGTAACTATGCAGGTGAGATAATTCAGTAGTTTTTTATTTCTTTTTAACAGTTTTCAATGCATATTTTTTAACAATAATATTATGTGTGACATTTTGATGCAGGAAAATCGACAGAATTTTGGTCGAATAGTAGTAGATGTATACACCAGATGAGTATGAAAAATGTAGTGAAAGCACCATTGATTTGCGGCCAACCCACGGACGAATCTCATCCCCATTTAGTGATGAAAGGTGAAGTGAGTATTTAAAGAGAAAAACCCTGTAGATTGAACCTAATGAAATATAAATTAATCACCCGATACGTTTCAGCTTGTCCCCGGTATACAAAAAGAAGAATTTATAATTAGAAGGCGCAAGTTAATGGAATCTGTATTGAGTACAAGGAAAGATTTTTACCATGTAATTGTTATACCGTCAGCCATTAGGCAGTACATGTCTGACCATATTCCATATCCGTTTAGACAAAATACGGATTTTTTATATTTTAGTGGATGCTTAGAAACAGACAGTGCTTTGGTTTTGTGCGGAAATTCTGTCGATAACTTTACATCAACTCTATTTCTCAAGACTTATGATCTTCAGTCCGAGTTGTGGAATGGACCTAGTACAAGTAGGTGATTACAATATATTTTTCGGTTCATGTAACTGTTTGGAATAATTTGTCTCCAGGAGCTGAGTGTGCACCGTTAATTTTTGGTGTTGATGATGGCAAAACATTACCCCAACTTTCAGAATTTATAATGTCTGAACTTAAAGGGCATAATAATTGTGTTTTATGGTACAATCAAAAACAAAAAGTCCAAAGTGCTGTTGATAAGACTGTTAATAACGCTGCTGCAGAAAGTTCAATTTATGTGAGTTCATCTTAGGTAATTGACAACTGTTCATTATCTTTTACTGTTATTTTCTACTATTTAATTATTATTATTTGTTTGTTCAAACTATAATGAATATTGAACTTTAAATTTCATAATAATTTTTTTTTTGCAGCTGGATGATAGTTTGGTTGATCATTGTCACAAATTACGATTGTATAAGTCATTAGCTGAACAAAGATTAATGCGACAAAGTTGTCAAATAGCCTCTAAATCATTTATTGAAGCAATGATGTCAACAAAACCAGGGTCAACAGAACATCAATTGTATGCTAGGTTAGATTATGAATGTCGAATGGGTGGAGCTGAATATCTTGCATATCCTCCAGTGGTTGCTGCTGGAAATAATGCTAATACCTTGCATTACATTGACAATAAACAAAAAATCAAGGATGGGGATTTAATTCTTGTCGATGCTGGTGAGATCAAATTAATATTTATATACTATAGATTTTGTATGTTATATGTAATGCTATGATGTAGTTATAATTTTAATATTCAAAGTTATCATATTATTGTTATAACTGTATTAACAATTAACAAGCATATTATGATTAATTAGGCTGTGAATATCATGGATACTCGAGTGATATATCCCGAACATGGCCAGCAAATGGATGGTTTTCTGACGCTCAAAAGACATTATATGAAGCTACTCTATGTGTTCAAAAAGAATTGATTGACATGTGTCAAGCCCGTCCATCATTAGACACATTGTATGAAGCCATGTGTTTTAAATTAGGAAAAGCCTTGGCAGCTGCCCATGTATTTAAAAAAAATGTTGATCCTTCTGAGTTAAATATGGTGAGTATTAAAATATTATATATATTATTTTATTTTTTGGAATGAAATTTTAAAATAGGTAATTGACATTTTCAGTTAGCCCGTGCATTGTGCCCTCATCATGTTAGTCATTATTTGGGGATGGATGTACACGATATTGGTACCATCAAAAAAAGTATTAAGACTGAACCTGGTTTTATCATTACAGTGGAACCTGGTTAGTTCTAATGTCCTTAAATTTTCTTACCTAAGACTTCCATAAAATGTATAACATATTTTTAAATTATTTTATTTAGGTGTGTATGTAAGTAAAAATAATATAAGAGTTCACGAAGAATTCCTTGGATTAGGTATACGAATAGAAGATGATGTATTGATCACTGAAAACAGTATTGAGGTGTTAAGTGAAGATTGTCCTAAAGAAATAGCAGATATTGAAAAAATCATGTCTAGACAACCTAAGTGATTTAAGTTGAGTTTGATTATTTTTAGTTGCTGTTATCGTTATACCTTATTATATTTAAGTCCTTTTATATTTTTACCACTTATTTAAAGAAAATTGTGACGAATTTTTAAAGTAAATGTTGGCTGTGTCCTGTTAAAAAACAATATTATGTATAATGTTTATTGTGTTTACATTCTATTGTACTTGTTAATCACACATAATTTATTAATATGGTTATCTGTACAACTGTTAAATACAATTTGAGTGTAAAAATGTTCTACTTGTGTTTAAGATTTTTTATTGTGAAAAATATAAATATTTCAAACTGTACATTTTTCTTCATATATTAATTATCATTATTTTTCAAAATTCACTTATTAAATTTTAGAACATTTTACTACATTATAGAATAAAATAATACAGTTCAATATTTAATCTAACAGACCATGAAGCAAAAATGTAAAATATTTCTATTTACTATTCAGAGATAAACAAAAATGGATTTGTTTCTAAATGTATTTTGTTTCATGTAACTGTCGATCTTTAATCATTCATTTATTTGTTTCATGACATTAATTGTAAATTGTAGTTGTATCATAATATTAAATGATTTTTAATTCTTATACAGTTGTATAATGATAACATTTGATAGTTTTTAAAATACAAACAATGAAAAGCTGTTTAAATGTTAGTTATGTTTGTGGTTGTTATGTTTCATATAGCTTCCTAATAAGTATAAACAAATAAATATTTTTAGGTACTTAAGTCAATATATACACATATTTATTAAGAATAATAAACGTCTGAATGAAAGATAACCTGGTAGACACATATTAGAGTTGTAAATTAAATATACAAATAGTTAATATTAGATACACAATAAGAACAACAACATTATTTAAAAACAATTACAAGTCTTAAGGTGCTAATGTGGACACGATTAACTACATGTATTTAAACATTCATAAACTTACTTAATGGATTTTGTCATCTGTAGGCTGGTATATCGAAATGAATGGTTGCTTCCTACACAAGAACTAATTTGATGATAATATGGTACAACTTAGAATTATTAAATAATAATTTAAATTATTATAATTTGTGTCTTGTTATATTTATAAATTCTTTGTGATATAGGTATTTTATCATAAATCCCTCTTAATCTATGAAATAGTAAACAATATTGTATCCATTTACTATATAGCAAATAATATAAATTATAATATGTCTTATTGATTCACCAACTCAAATTTCAATGATATAATCCAATATGCATTGAATGTATAATAAATTCTGAACTATGAAAGTATTAATTTTTTAACTACAGATTTTGTTTGTTATTTTCTTGAAAAATGGTTTCTAAAGTTGTAAAAACAATTAATAAGCAGGATACTACACGTCTACATTGATAGAAAAAAAAACATTGCACTGAATGAGGTAATTTTACATAGGTACTAATGTACTATTATGTATAAAAAAAGAACATTTTTCAAACAAATATTTAAAAACTCAATGTACCTACCTAAGCAAAACAACTAAGTTAAATCATTGCCATTTTTGAGAAATTTAAGATTTCAAAAACCTGTTTTGATTAAAATAATTTATTAGTATACGGACAAGAAGTCTTTTATTAAAACAAAAAAACGTCCCGTCAATAAAATCATATAAAAACACCTAATCGAACATCAACAATAGAGTGGTATATTATTAATTAAAAAATTAGACATTTCTAAGTATTACATTTTTAGCAAGGGTTAAGTTAGGTTACGTTTTGTTTCGTAATAAATATATTATACGTACAGAGAATTGAGTGTTGGCGTATTCTTGTCTTATATAAACAATATTATCTTGTAGGTACCTAACCCGTAAAATATAAATAATTAGTTACCTATATATTTATTTACAATAAATAACCGACGTGTAATCACAATTATCCAAGGTTTCTTGTGATTTTAATATTTTATTAACAGTGACTTCTTTCCGGCATTCAATTTATTAATACGTACCTAGCGAATTGTTTACAAATTTGAAGACATCCACCACTGTAGACAGTAAGAGGTGTATTTTCTTTTGTTTTATTTGCTAATGAAAATCAAAACTATAATACTTCTTCAGTTTTACGCTTGACTAAAATTATATTTTTAACTTTTTTTAGATAGGTGTGCATGTCTCATTTATTCAAAAAGTCTATTAATCTGAGCCCGCCGTGCCAAATTCAAGGAGCATGCTGTTTATCTTTCAATCCTTACATGAACTAATATTCATCTGGTTTTTCTCACCCTCATATCCTGCTGCCCGGTTTCCTTGGCTTTTGAAATTTGGAACATTCATTGAGCATACCCATAATAGGTACGTCGCTACGATAAAGTGTAGAAACATAGCTCATAAGAATATTAAGCCGTTTCGGCCTTAACATGTGGCAATTTCAAAGTTTAAATTTTTGTTACTGACTGACTGACTTATACTCACTCGTCGTAAAAATTATAAAGCACTTCCCGTATCGGTAGATGCATGAAATTTGGTTCAAAGATCGGTCAAGTAGGTATTGAATATTTTTATTTATCTTCCAAGTACCTACGTACCTATTTGACGTTACCTACCTATTAAGTTATTGTCTATAAAATAAATATTATATACGACTGTATAAGTTTCATTCTTACTACTTCATTTCTTACTTTGTACCTATAAGTACAGTTGTACAGGTCTTGAGTTATCTATCGTCAAGTAAAAAGTACCATTTAAATTAAGACGCATTTGACTTTACTTTATTGCTACCGTTAAATATTGACTTTGCCGGTTTAAAAATAAATGAGTAATAATTGTTTGGTTACGAAGCGATGAATGTGTATTTTTTATATTTATTTAGTATTTAAAATCCACTTCACTCGGTGATTTAATGAGATTTAGCGAAACATAATAAATATCATTCAGGGACCTATGTAAAATCCATTAAGAAAATAAAATTCCATTTGGTCAATATATAGGTAGCGCAGAACATTGAACCAATGTCGCATATTTTTTATGAACATTTTTTGCGTTTAAATCTAATACAAGGTAGTTGCACATCCTTGAATAATATAATTAACACAATGAGTATACAAATAACAAATATGGGGTAAGCAGCAGGAGCTATACCGTATGAATATCGTTTCTTATGAATTTTCGAAGTATAAGAAAGAAAACATTTCTCATAATTAAACAATAATAATTATTCCAATGACAAAATATTCTCAACCTTGTTCGTAAAAAAAATATATATTCTTACAATTTTGACTAATTGGTCCAGTTTAAATTTTGCAATATCATCTGTTGTACCTACGTCAATTTATATTGTTCGTCGATGTCTACTGATACATTTGGTCAGGTACACACATTTTGGGACTGAGTTCAGAACTGGTGCCCATAACCATCCGTAAAAAATAGACATTTAAGATAAATTGAATACGGAATATGTTTGTACATGTGGACAGCGTGTACCTATAATTTTACGGTCATTAGGTATAGCGATAAACTCATTTGGCTACATATTATACACGTACAAAAATTGTCTAATACAATCCAAAAGTAAACGGCCAAGAAAACAAGCGTAGAGAATTGTTGTTTACAATACGAGTGTATATAGGTGTATCGTAGAGATATTTATGTTTGGGTGTTTGAATTCAGAGATGTCCGGCATAAAAAATATTAAATTCAAATCGGACATACTTTTATATTTAAGAACACAACACTATAATATGCGTTTCCCATTTTCGCACGTACCTACCACCTACAAAAAGATGGTGAAAAGATCACTCTTTTACCAAAATTGTTGTAGCTTTTTGTATGATTTTTAAAAGTTTACAATTTTCTTGTTTCAGGTAATCATCATTAGTAAGTCATTAGGTAGCTCTTCATTAATAATTGTTCATGTCTAATAATATTTTGTTTTCATTCTACCGGATGATTCTTTTTTAGGTATTATACCTATGGCAATATTTTATCATAGGTATTTCCTAATAGGTACCTACTTCATTTTGTTATCTGAACTCATTTTCTATACATTGGCAATCGCTTAAAATTATAAATACCTACTAGAATGTTATTCATTTCTTTGCTCTAGCACGGCTGGCTACACTTCATAGAAAAACGACAGGTATTTACCTCCAATGTAATTGCACAGTTGTTTTTATAAAAGTCTGAATAAATAATATTATGTTGAACATATCATTGGAATATCTTTGGAAATTATTATTTTTCTTTTAAGAGAAACATAATTTATGCGCTTAGCATCGCTTTGATTCTTTTATCTTTACGTTTTCCTGAATTCATATTATAGGTACCTACTATATATTGTAAAGAGTATATTATACGTATAGCAAATTCCACCTGCTTGTTTTCGACGGCGTAATAAAACTTGGAAGCATATTTTGTTTATTAAAATATAACAGTTTTATAATTAAAAAATAATATAGATTGCTATAGGACATTTAACATAATTGGCACTTATTTGTATTGGATATTTCAATATTTGCAAATTTGAAAAATAATGTTATGTAGGTAACACTGACGGTTCATTGAAATATTATTTTAAGAAATATATTCTAATGATATCGTATTACTGGTATTACATCATACATCAAACCAGTTAAAACTGTTAAAAGTATTTATGATTGAATTTAGGTAAACAATTTACTGAGTACCTTTATAATATTTTGTACGAATTACAATGTATTGAAGAATTTGAATTTGCATTGCTACCTGTATTAGCAAGGATGTGTGGAATTTATATTGTCGAGCTTACAATTTCAGTTCAATTTAATTCGTCGAGGTGTGAACGACACAATAGAACATTCGTTGATATTAAAAGTAAACAATTTTATTTATTTATTAATATTAAAAACTACAAAAATGTATAGAAAGATACTTTTTTTGTCATGTCGTTGGTAGGTATATTTATAGTTCTAGTCTATACATTATTTTAAACTAACTTTGTCAAAAAAAAAAAAAATGAAAATCATAAATCAAAGTAATGTCAGAGAAAATATCAGGTTCAGATTATTCTAATAACAGTAATCCCTCGTTATCCGCGGAGGTTAGGTTCCAGCAAAGTTGCGCGGATATCGAAACCGCGGATAACGAGACCATAAAGCAATGTAATACGGGAAGTTAGGTTTTATTTACATACAATTTTTAACTTTTATTATTTTGTATTTAATTTTAAAAATCACAAAAAGGTTAATATGTGTTACACTTACAATTATTTGATTATTTATTTTTTCAATATAATTTATTAATTACTTATACGTACATAATATATTAGGAAGGATGAAAAAAATTTGCATATTATCTACATATTAAGGTATGTACTTTATGTAGCTTATCTGTTATAACTTATAAGTATTGGTATAATAAAGATACAATTTCATCGTGTGTATTAAAGAAAATGTTATCGCCGACCCAACCGCGGATAACGAGGGATTACTGTACTCTAATAATCTAATGTATCTTTTATATTATGTAATAAGATATAATCCACCTATATTGCATAATTTTTGAATAGAATTAGTAGAAGTATATAGAATCATCTATTTTGTGCATTTATCCGCTTATACGTTTTAAGAAAGCGGAGTAGCCCGTAGGCGTGTACTATTGCACCTTTAAGACATCATTTTGTGAACAATTACTATAAATTATAATATATAGCTAAATAGTGTAACATATACATTATACATAGGTTCTATTAGTCTATAGAAGGTATACGTTTTAAATTCACTGATTATACTTCATAAGCTGATGTGCCTTAATAATTATTAATTGAAATATATGCTATCTATAATTTTGTAGTTGGCATTTTACACATAGGTTCCTCGCTGTAGTATTTATAACATTTTTGACATGACTTTAAATCAGTGTTTCTCAACCTTTTTTAAGTTACCGCCCCCTTGAGTGTCAAAAAATTTTTTAACGGCCCCTACAATGTGAGAATTCTATAATAAGGGTTAGGTTAAGGGTATTTGGAAAATTTAAAAGAAAAAATTGAAATTATCTAATAACTCATGTTTTTATTTATTTTTTATATTTGATATATTTTTTATTTATAGTTCTAGTATTATGGTAATCTACCACCCAAAATTAGTTCACCGCCCCCCTACCACCCAAAACTAGTTCATTGCCCCTCGGTGACATTTTACCGCCCACTGAGGGGCGATATTGCCCCCGTTGAGAACCACTGCTTTAAATCATATTCAATGTGTTTTTTTTAGAAAATTATTATAATTTAAATGTTTTCTTATAAATCTATAATATTATGTAAGTGTCTACTGTCTATGCTATCGTCTCTAACCTAGTTTATATCACAACTGAAACTGACAACTATACCTATTTGATTTCCAATTTTAAATTTTAGATTACCTGTATAATAATGTGACGTATTAAAAACAATTATTCAAGCTAAAATTTTATAACGATTGGCGTGGGAGTCTATAAAAAGCTGCAGTTAGTATATTGGTTGGTACACATTTATTTTTCATCTGCGTAGTTCATTATTTTTATCATAGTATATCACGAATATTTAATTAATAACATTTTATTATATTATAGGTATGATATATTGATGTAGGTAAAATTATTTTATTGTAGCGTTTTCCACTACCCATATGGTTATATACTTATATGATATACTGGCATTTAAAACGTATGGTTTATTCACATTGGGGTAACTTGAGATTAAATATGATTGGTGGTGGGGTGCTAATATTTTGTTTTTAATTTAAGGGGGTTTTTCAATTAGTAAACAATAAAAATATGTTGTTGTGTCATGTGTTCTACACTTGGGCACTGTTTTTTCCTAACTATGTATAATACGTCATATTTGTATACGTCAAAATTGATATCATTTTTATTAATAATTTTATATTATCAATAATAATAAGTCAGATATGAAGAGATGTCTCATTTTTCTATAAGATAAGAACAATTTAAAAATTTGAAAAAAATAAATTTTTTACTTATGGCAGAGGAGTGTAAATCATCTATGTTCCTCAGCACAATAAAAAAAGTCAAGAAGGATGTTTACCAGTGATTTGCTCCTTATAAATATTAAAATAATATAATAAATACAACATCATATTTTTCTTAATAATTTTTAGCATCACGAAATAAGCCAACTAGCTGCTAGGAGTGCTATAAAGCACTCCCGAAGCTTCAGGCACCTCCTAATTGATTCCAACTAAACGTGTTTTTAACTTTGTATGTACCTTTAGTTTTTTCTATAGCCCTTGTTTATATATTATACGGTAATTATCCACACATTAGCTATTGTATGTTCGTATGATTCGTTCTGAGGATATCGAATACTACACTATGTATAATAGATACCTTGTGTGCCGAAGTTACTTCAAATTTTATATTAATGCTGCGTACAACTGTTTTCGTTTCCGTTTTTTTTAAAATTATAACAATATCGTGTATTATACTTCTCGACATTAGAGTTATATATTTTGGTGTGGAACGCACAACGACCGGACGTAGGTACAAGATGTACTCACCTACGCAATAACTCTAATATAAAACAACAATATATATATATAATGAAAAAACCGTCTTGTGCGTTCGCAGCGGTAATACGACTCGTCGGTTTTTTACATTCTAACATCCATGCCCGCATAGGATATTATGCACGATAATAACATAATATTTTATTCCGATGTAGTGTAATGAAAAAAACCAACGAAAAAAACGCGCCAGAAACGTCATCTCAAATCCTAATCGTAGAGTATCGCGTAAACCGGTCGTACCTATGCGTCGCGGGCGCGCTTTTTCCCCTCAGACCACGACGACGACGACCTGCATTTTGATGCGATCAACCGCAGATAGGTGGTTGGTACCTAACCTAACCTACCTCTACTGTCTGAATGAAATATATTATATACATAATAATATCTAGCGCGTACAACAACAATATAATGTTATTATATTGGACAGAGGACCTGGTTTGGTGGTGGAAATTCTGTGGCCGCGATCTTCACGTTTTACTTACATTTATTATTATCATTATATTATTATACGTCTGTTTTTTATTACATTATACACGCACACACACGCACACACACACTCACACTTAATACACATTTTTACACACACGCATTATGATATTATACATCAGTGTGTGTGTGTGTGTGTGTGTGTGTGTGTTGTTGCGCGCGCGTATAATATTATATACGTTTTTTTACTCCTCAATGACCCGCGACCGCCACCGCCACAAAAACCGGTGTGGCCGCGCGTATCCGCTCAAGTCTGGTTTCTGTCGCGTACCGTGAAGCACGCGCGCTCGCCCCGGTATAGTATCGTACACTCGCGTCCGTCGCCGTTCCGTTTTGCACGTGTCGCTCGCGCCCGTCCGCTGCTGCAGGTGTGCGATACTGTTTGTATATACAAACACCAATACAATTAGTGCACTTTTGGGCCGTCACAGCATTGCACGCAAAACGACGACGACAACAATAATATAGTAATGGATTATAGTATATATTCGTAATCGCGACATTTTTTACACTCTGTCATTGTACCGGGCCGTGTACGTATAGGTAAACGCGCAGTTCGTTCGCGGGAGCGTGTTTGGATATTTTGTTCTTCTTGTCTTTAATATTACCTATAACGGGTATTTATATCTACCGTGTACCGCGGTTACCGCGGTCTGCGCCGACGGTGGTATTGCGATCGTACACCCATATTCCTGCACGTCGTCCGCGGCGGTAAGTCTGTGACGCGACAATCGCATCGATATTAAATCGTACACCGTATTATAATGAGTACTTTTTTCCTTTTTGGCGGGTCCCTCAGACGAATGAGTCGAGTCGAATACCTACACACTATAGAAAATATTATACAAATCTGTAAAGGCCTAAGGGTGGTGTGTGGGGTGACATAATCTCAGTTTGCAGGCTTGTGACACTGCCGGCACAGCGATTTTTGATGGATCCGTGTTAACGCATACATTCGTGTCATGTTGGTCACCGATATAGATGATGAAAACAGCCAAGGGCGTAGGAAATCACTTTTAAATAGACGAAAAGGATTTATTTAACTCTGACCCTGTCACACACCCTCACTTGACAAAAATATATGCTTAGTTACGCCATCAATGCAGGTTGGTTGGGCGCGCAGAAGCGCTGAAAGTAAGATTTTAATGGGCAGGGTCCTAAGATTGGTAAATCCTTGAGAGCTATGAGGTACTTTATACGGATGATGATCGATGGTGTATGTGGATTTTCAGTGTTTTGTTTATTAAAGTGCTTCTTATACAGTTACTTTGATGCTTTTTCCAAACTATATACAGATATTGTCTTATCGTGTTATTCCTTATGTATTGATACAGAGCCGATGGTGCACCGGGTTAGCGTTGGTCGAGGAATGGTACGCGATAATTAATCCGATCGGAAAACTAATTTACTTACTTACTAAGTATACACAGTGGAGTGCTAACTTTGATTGGCACCCCGGGGCAATCATATTTGAAGGTTAGTTGAAGCCCCTATTCAATATGATATTTGGTAGAATTTCAATAGAGAAGTTATATTTTACTACATGTATTACCAAATAATCCTTTTATTATGGGCTATGGCAGCAATATGAACCCTTTATTATTAATTTCATAATTTTATATTATCAATAAATGATGAAAATTAATCAGATATTAGATAACACTTCTTTAATTTTAACTATACTTCCAAATAATTTTTAATTTTTTAATTACCTGTATATTTTTAATACACCCAATAAAATTTCTAGACATATATTTTTTAAATTGATTGACTTTCTTACAAAATTAAAAACAAATATTTTTTATAGTATCTATTAATTGTGCAATGTTTTTTAAAACAATTTTTACTAGTTTATTATTTTTTAAAAGAAACTCTTGATAAATTTGTGAAGTTATACGTTATTGAATAGTTTAAAAAAATGATATTAAAGTGTTTTGTGCCATATGTATTTAGCTCTGTGTTTGTATACAAGCAGTTATATAAACTATCGAATAATATATACACTCTCAATTTAAATACAAGTCACATATTAAATTCAATAAAAATTAAAAATGATAAATTGTGTCATTTTAACAACAACAAAGTATCGCTACGATGTCGCAAAAATAATTAAATAATTTGTAATAATTTGTAATTTATGTTCATCATTCATTAAAATGTATGTTCTGATATTTTGTATAGTTACTGTAAATCAAATGATGTTTACTCATATCACACTTAAAAAAATTAAAATTAAAATTATGTAAAAATATATTTTTAACATGACATTTATAGAGTCTATAATATATGAAATAAATCGATATTTTTAGTTACCTACTTATAGTAATTTAATGGTGTGAAATTTAACATTCGTTATAATAATTAATCATAACAAATATTCATTTTTTTCTATTGTCACTGGCATTTTAGAAATATGTACCCGATTATGATGGATTGACAATAACAATTGACAATAAAAAGTAATAAGCAACCAAATTCATATTAACTGTGGTTCCCAGAAATATCGATGAAATTAGGATTGTGTTAGATTTACTTGTTTATCTTACGGTTTATACCACTTTTTGATAGGATAGTGTAGAGTGCAGACAAAATTAATTGTTAGGGAAAACGTATTTGAAAAATATACCTTTAAAATGTAAGTAAGATTAGAAATATTTACGACTAGAGTAGTCTGGTCAAACATTTAGATTTGGTTTTGAAGTTATAGCGATTTAACGTTTGAACAATTATCTATTACCATCTGAAGTATAAAGTTTACGACAGTCGACAGTTCCGTGGAAAATTCATTGCTATTTTTTATTAATAATACAAATGAGAGAACCTATGAAGCAGTAGAGTATTATAATATATTATTTATACTAAATTCGAAAAGTAAAGTAGAGAGATGGGTAAATTCTAATCTACCTTATATATTTTGTATATAAAAATGTGTGATGTACACAACTTCAATACAACTTTTTGTGGTTCGATCGTCTGTCAAAAACGTGCGTCACAGTCGGGGATTACCTCCGGGCCAACGCATATAAATGTCTTTAATTTCGTACTGCAAACCTATATATTACTCTACTAAAATTTAGTGAAAGTCCGGAGCTTGGGACCGGTTTCAAAATCATTTTGATGATTTATTATTGAAAATGATATCAGTATCAAAATGAATATAGAAATCAAAACCGGTAGGTACTAAAAACCAAAAAACCAAATGGTAAAAGAATATGAAATCCAAAATCGAAACCAACATTCGTTAAGAATACTGGTATATTTACCCATTAAATATATTATATTTAAAAATTAAAAAATTAAAATCCGATAAACAAACTTACAATGTTTTCTATAAGTTCTTCTATTTTCTTATGTTCACTTACAATTTTTTTCTAAAAATGATTTATTTCCGTTACTTTATGTGAGTAAAAATGAGAAATTGAGATTTAAATTTTCAAATCAATCGACTGAGGGAACTATAAAGTTTATTTTTATTTAGAAATATATATATATATATATATACATATCATTATGTATAACACTATACAAATTAAAGAAATAGCTCCTTTATGAAAATAACAAACTAAATTTTGTAAGTAGGCATAATATTATTGAGTTAAATTATTGATTTAAATTCAAACATGGCACTGTGGATAAATGAGCCACTCACTATTGGTTTTCTCTTTCTTCACCATTTGCATCGTAGACAAGGCGCATTATCACATTAACCTATTAAAATTTAAAACAATTACAAAGAATAATATTTAGGAGGGTTTGACATACCCGTTCCATATTTTATTTACTATATTGACAAATTTGCAGGCTTTACATTGGATTTTAAAAACAAATAGAGTTTTTGTACATTTAAATGTTAGATCATTTTTTTTTTTTTTTTGAGATGATAGTTATCACTTTATCAGACAAAACGATATTGTAACATACCCTGAAACCCTCGTACTCGCCGGTCCGAGCGCTCAGGTGGGTATATTACACGACACGCGCCGCACACGCGCACTATCACTTTTACGCGCCGCGGAGCATGTTTACAATAACAATACCGAATAGCGACATGTATACAATAAAATATTATTATAATATAATATAACATCGTTTTTTCGTTGTTGTCGGTTTATTATTATTTATAACTCCGAGTCCTTGATTTCCTGCGAGCACACGCGGAGTACTCGTTCCTTGAACTAAATTTCCTCGCACGCATAGACACTTGCATACACGGACACGGTATACCTAGGTAACCTGTACAATACATATTATGTGTATCATAGGCGTGTGTATGATTATGTACGCATGACGCATAGGTGTAGGTAGGTACGTGTGTGTACAGTCGACCGTCGCTCCTATACCCTCGGCGTCATCAACTGCTGGCGACCGCGACCGGTGTCGGTTTTGCGCGCCACCATGCCGGTATAATAATATTATGTTGTATATAATATTATTATTACTATTACTATTATTATGACAGCGATAATGATGTATAAATTATAAAATCATAATCGTGCGCGAGTATTTTCCACCCGCAATTATTATTATTATTATTATTATTATTATTATCGAACGCATATCGTCCGCGACTATATATTTATGCTGGTCAGTAGAGGAAATTATCTATTTACCTACCGCTGCGGCCACCACCGCCGAGTTAAGCGCAATATTAATTCCTACGACGAGTATTGTGCGGTTTCGGGGCCAGCACAGTATAATACACGGCCGTTTTAAATAATATCACCCCGGAACTCTAAATAATATTATTTAAGTCTTCCGCCAAACGAGGATTGCAAAATATTATCAACTGCAATTAGCCATTACTCATTAGGTATATCTTGCACTTTATATGTTTTATAATATCATTTTTCCTTTTTATTCTTGTTGGTATTAGCCAGTCTTACACTTGTCACTAGCCGATGGAATCGAAGATCGAGCAGTATCGTCGTGTATAATCAATCGGCCCCGTCATGGCTAACAACACAGAAAAATGGGCAGAAGAAGAAGAGCCCAACTCGTTTCTATTGGGCGAAGACCGCAGTGCGCAGCCAGGGTTCGTCAGGCAGAACCGCCGGCAATCCAGTAAGACTATTTTACGATATTATGGTATTATTATTAGCAGAGGCGTGTGCACAGTGCTCGACCTGAAATTTTTCGGAGACATCGAACGTTTGAAAATACGTATAATTGTATAATATATATTTTTTAAATAGTTTATGAGGGTTTTAACGACAAAGGTTTATTAACTTAATATTAGAAAAGAGAATATATACTAATATACATTAAATCAAATTAATATTGTATATTTAGCACAGATATTGACATGTTTTAGACATATATAATATTATGTTTAATAGTGTACATCAGAGATAGCTAGTGGTAATTTGAAACGATTTTAATGGCATAACATTTTAGTAAATCCCTGTAGCCACTCACCACCACCCAAAAAAACTCTTCTCAAAAAATCATGCAAAGTTATTCATTGAATTAGAAATTACTGACAGTGTGAGCCGTAGTTGATATTAACATAATGATACTTGATGAATTTAAAGCTATTAAAAATTGGCGATTTTTTCTGTAGTTATTTCTTTAAAATTTAAATTCAAGTATTGGCCATTGGGTAGTCTTGGTCAGAAATTGGAGTCAGCACACGCCTATAAGGACTATTAATATTCAATTAGACGACTACACGAGATAACACCGACTTTATTGTCGAACAAAATGGTTAGGTACAGTAGACGCAATAGACTTAATGTTTTTAGTTTTTACAGTTCTATTTCAGATTATATCACTCGTTAATGTTAAATATTGGAGTTAAGAACTTGTGCTTGTCTTAAAATAAACAAAAGACAATATTATTTTTTATTTTCATGGTAATATGTTTACCTATAATAATTATATTATGTTTTTATTATTATATTGTGTTAGTTTTATTGTCTTGTTTTTGGATATTATTTAAAAATTACCTGTTAGTGCCATAAATTCTGGTTGTAACATCGATTTTAACATTTATTTTTATGTCTTGTACATAAAAACCATATATGCATTTAGGCTTTTGAATATTTTAAAGATGGATATTTTTTGCATTTTAGGTTTATATAGTTACAGAATATAAATTCTATAGCCTATTGTTACTTTTCTGACTGTTTGAGTCAGATGACTCAAACAGTCAAACCATTTCGAATTAACTATTTTAAATGATGTAGAAAATAAAATAATATTAAAAATGGAAATCCTGTACATTTAAAAAATATTAATTGTTTTAAAAATAAAAAATTATAACGAAATGAAAAAATAAATTTAACTGAAATTGGCTGTACATAACTATAAAGTAATAATCGCACTGCTAGTGCCAGGATAGATAATGAATTCTTACTTTTATGTAAGTATTTAGTGGTAAATATAGTTCATCACTATACCAACTTTCAATTAATCGACTTCTTACATAATTATTGTGGAGTGTTCGATTGAGATACTAAGAAGTAGTTTTTGAAAAAAAAAAATCATTGTAAGCAAAAATTCTTATGGCCAATAATTATAGGCATCGTCCCAACTAAATTCGCTTTTAAAGTGATGAATTTATTAGAAAGTTAATATTTCCAACATACTGATATGATAATAATATAATATAATACTATGCATTTTTTATTTATTTATTCTAATCATGCATCACATTTAACTGTTGTGTTATAAAGAAAATAATATATTCGAGTGAAATTGTAAACAGTTTCACAAGCTAATATTTAGCGTACCTACGTTTTATAGAGATTCTATAATAAAATATACTTGTGTACAGTTATAATAATATATTGTTTTTTTTAGACAACAATTTATAATTCAAGTCCGAGTCGTTTGTGTATTCATATCCGTACTTAATGACAAGGATAAACACATCAAACACCTTAATACCTTATATTATTATAACAAGTCGCGCCTTTTTTTGCTACCAAACGCTTGATGTATGGTGATGTTTGAGTATTATTTATGCATTGTTGAGCTTACTTTTGGAATTAAATTTCACATTAGCTTAATGAGCATCTATATTCTAGGAATTATATGAGTTATACCCCGGAACTCGATGATTTGCCGAGTATTTATAGGGATCTATGTGGTAAATAGGTACTCACATATTATGGTGGGTGCATGATATGATTACTTATGAACTATGGTGCATAATAATACCTATAAATAAATAATAGCTTGTCTCCTACTTACACGGTTATGATTGATTAATTTCCAACTGGTGTACGATGTTTAATACCGTTGTATAACATGCTTGTAGGCACCTTAAACATACCAAATCTTCTAACACGGGGGCAAACCGGTTGCGCAGTGTAGTTGTTCAATATATTATTATTTTCAAAAATGGTATTAATTAAGGCACGCTTCCAGAAATAATGAATTATTGCTCTGGAATTTGAGTGTTGGCAGAGGCCGCTGTCTATCGAACACTATCCCAAGGAAAATTTTCACCAGTGTAAACCTATTTTCTATATTTGTGTCTCCTTTGTACGGTGATTGCCGAATCGACTCATGATTGAGCTCTAGATCGCGACTTACTGTAAGTTGTACCGGTGCAGTCAGTTGATTTTTCCATAGACTTCTACCATGATACTACAGTGTAGTTCCTACAGATATTTTGTAGATTTTCAGGTGTTTCTTAGTCATTCAGTTCATTAAATTTTAAGCCATATGGCTTAAATAATTAATATAATATAGCATCTATATAGATGGATAATATTTTTAATACTATGTTTAGTACTCAGATTACGTTTTGAAATTCGAATTATTTTAATTAAATATCAATTTAAATACATTGAATGACTTTGCATTTAATTTCTTTTGTTTTTAAGCGTACATATCAAGTCTGTTGTTTTCAATCTGCCTACATGTAACCTTGTCATTGTTTACAAATTTATTATTTCAATCTAAGGTGTCCAATATATATTTAACGAACATCTATAGCTTAGCTGTGAAAACAAGTAAATAAAAGAACGAATTTTCTTTTTGAACTGGTCAACATTGAGTAACTTTTTGGGACCTTTAAATTTGTTTTGTATCCTTGGTGTCTTGTAAATAATAGTTATATCAGCTACGACCATTGATGTATAGTATAATGTACTAGATAGGGCCATATATTTTTTAAAACAATAGAGAAATACAAATAATGCAATTATGTGTTTTTTGCAAAACATTCATTTATAACTACCTCTATACATTATAGTGTCCATACATTTTACTATGTATTCACTACATAATATTGCATATAAGAATAATCTGTACAAACGTTATACGTACTTAAATAGTTAAATTTCATGATTTTTTGAAACTGAAGTTTTGTTTATTTTTACTTGATTTATGGTAGTATAAAATATACTTTAATTTTCTTAAACTAATTAGTAGAGTAAATAAAAAAAATAAAAAAAATAAAAAAATAAAAATAAAAATAAAAATACATAGGTTCCAAACTAGGTAGCGTAAAAAAAACTAAAATAGAAATAGTTCTATTTTTTGTTTATATAATGTATAGAAATTGTATTAATACATATTTAATAATATTAGGAATAACTGAATTTTACACATATTAAATCATTTTATTTATTATTTAAATCCGTTTAATTATGTTTTATTAAAGGTGTAAAAAGTAGTTATGATAATATATGAATTAGATGAACTTTTAAAATTATGTCTTAAATAAAGAATAGGATTTCTGAAACGAAATAAAACATGCATTGTTGATGATGTATTCAATAACACACCGAATTAAATTGTTTTAATCGTTATTAATTGAATGCTATACTTTAATATTTAATTTAATTTAAACTTAAAAATCAGAACAATTGTTTAATATTCAACTCGTAAGTCCTGAGTGTTAATTGCATACATAGTTTAATTTTTAAGAATGACTTTTGAAAAAAAATCTATAAAATTATTATTTTAACAAATTAGTAGATAATATTTTCTATAGGTGAAATACTGGAATGGGTGATATATATATATTGTTTCGTGATTATCATACCTCTTAAAGCCCTTAAGGTTATGTCTATTGACACGACCGTTAATTTCGGATATTGGCCATGAACGCGTCTGTGCAACTTTACCCGATGATGAGACACTTCGAGCGGAACCAACGAACATGGTATCGTTTGGATTATTCCTGTCCTTGACATTGATCTCGTAATAGCAAAAAAGGTCACTGTTGAAGATCTATTAAAATAAAACCGCAATATTAATTTAACGTTTTCATTTCGTTTCGTTTTGTTATTATATTATGGTATGTGTAATTTACATATGGGTATTATAGCTGGTAGGTAGGTATAATATGTATCCTGTATAGTTGTAAAAACCAACCAGAAATGTATTACACTAGGTGCAGATACTTATTCTAAAGTGTAAGTGTGTATACATATAACCACACATGTATACGACCTTAATCGGTACGATATTATGAAAATGATATTTTACATGTCTTGCACCTTACATACAAACTCATACGTCTCTCGGTGTAGTAAAAATGGTGTAATTGAAAATCATAATATTAAACCTCATCACGAATACAATACTGCATTTATATTATCTCGTTATGTAAATCGCCGGACTGTCGTGTATAAATCGCACTTGGAATTGGACGTAATCCAAATGGGAAGCTATCACAGACTATACACGAATCATAATATTGTTGTACGATATGGATGATGTCGGTAATTACTACAAAAACAAATATAGGTATAACTATGTGTGCGCGTGTACCGTTGTGAACGGAATTTTGATGATTGGTCCAGCGCATAATATTTGGAATAAAGCCCCCGCGGATGGAATTACATATTTTTTAGTCGTTGGGTACTAATAACTACATTATTACGTATGATATAATAGTATATAGAATACACCGTATTGAATTTGGTGACGGTCGATATATAAATTCCGTCGAACGAATGACGGCCCGCTCTTCCGTTTATTGTATGCTTCTACATCTACCTACATATAATTAGGTAAGTTAATAATTAATACAACTTACTGTGTTATAATGTATCAACGTATACCATTTTTCTTAAGCAGATGGGTTGGTGAGTGTATTGTAT